GGTGGGGTTCAGAATGCTCTTTGATTGTAAGTGAACTATAAATCCCAGCAAATACAACTCCCAAATGTCAAGTCTACTAATGTTTACATTTGAGCATATTGAGTATTCGTGCCAAGTTTGGTCCAGATCTATTTATTTATTTATTTATTTATTTACTGTCCTTGTATACCGCCGTTTCTCAGCCTAACTGGCGACTCAACACGGTTTACAACAAAATATACAGTGCACAGTATACAATTAAAACCATAAAAAACATAATACACAATATTACACGTAAATCACAATCCAATACATCTCCTAACTAAAATCGTGGTCCAATTGCATCATCCATATTACCAATCCGTAATCAACACATTCATTGCACCGAATTAACCAAATGCCTGCTTGAACATCCAAGTTTTTAGTCTTCTTCGGAATACCATCAGCGAGGAGGCTGATCTTACCTCCATGGGAAGGGCGTTCCAGAGCCGAGGGGCCACCACAGAAAAGGCCCTGTCTCTCGTCCCCGCCAGCCGCACCTGTGAAGCAGGCGGGATAGAGAGCAAGGCCTCCCCAGAAGATCTTAGGGTCCTGGTGGGCTGATAGGCCGAGATACGTTCGGATAGGTAGGTTGGGCCAGAACCGTTTAGGGCTTTAAAGGCCAACGCCAGCACTTTGAATTGAGCCCGGTAGCAAATCGGCAGCCAGTGGAGCTGGTGCAGCAGAGGAGTTGTGTGCTCCCTGTGCTCCGCTCCAGTTAGTATCATGGCTGCCGACCGTTGGACTAATTGGAGCTTCCGAGCCGTCTTCAAAGGCAACCCCACGTAGAGAGCGTTGCAGTAGTCTAAACGGGATGTAACCAGAGCGTGGACTACCGTGGCCAAGTCAGACTTCCCAAGGTACGGTCGCAGCTGGCGCACAAGCTTTAGCTGTGCAAATGCTCCCCTGGTCACCGCCGAAACCTGGGGTTCCAGGCTCAGCGATGAGTCCAGGATCACACCCAAACTGCGAACCTGCGTCTTCAGGGGGAGTGCGACCCCATCCAACACAGGCTGTAACCCTATACCCTGTTCGGCCTTGCGACTGACCAGGAGTACCTCTGTCTTGTCTGGATTCAATTTCAATTTGTTCGCCCCCATCCAGACCGTCACAGCGGCCAAGCACCGGTTCAGGACCTCGACAGCCTCCTTAGTAGCAGGTGGAAAGGAGTGACAGAGTTGAACATCATCTGCGTACAGATGACATCGCACTCCGAAACTCCGGATGATCTCGCCCAGCGGCTTCATGTAGATGTTAAACAACATGGGAGACAGTATTGAACCCTGAGGAACCCCACAAGACAAAGGTTGTGGGGTTGAACAGGAGTCTCCCAGTAACACCTTCTGAGACCGACCCTCAAGGAATGAGCGGAGCCACTGCAGAACAGTACCTCCAAGACCCATCCCCGCGAGGCGTCCCAGAAGGATACCGTGGTCGACGGTATCGAAGGCCGCTGAGAGGTCGAGCAGCACCAACAGGGACACACTCCCCCTGTCGAGCTCCCGACGCAGATCATCCACTAAGGCGACCAAAGCTGTCTCGGTACCATGCCCCGGCCTAAAGCCAGACTGTGCCGGATCCAGATAATCCGTGTCTACCAAGAATGCCTGGAGTTGTGAGGCCACCACACGTTCCAGGACTTTGCCCAAGAAGGGGAGATTGGAAACAGGCCGATAGTTGACGAATTGAGTGGGGTCCAGTGATGGTTTTTTCAACAGCGGTTTTATCACAGCTTGCTTTAAGCTGGCTGGAATATGCCTTCCCGAAGGGAGGCATTAACCACCACCTTCACCCACTCGGCCAATCCCCCTCTGGCCTCCTTCAGAAGCCAGGATGGGCAGGGGTCTAGGATGCATGTGGTAGCTCTCATTCCTCCAAGCACCTTGTCCACATCCTCGGATTGAACCAATTGAAATGAATCCATCAAAACCGGACAAGCAGATGCTCGTGTTACATCCTCAGAGACTGCCGTTAATATGGTATCCACCAGAGCGGATCAAAGCGACTTTGTCTGCAAAGAACTGAGCAAAAGCTTCACAGCGAGCTGCCGAGTCATCAGGGCACCCATCCTGAGTGGTGGGTTTTAACAGGCCTCTGACAACTCGGAACAGTTCAGCCGGACGGTTCTTTGCAGACGCAATAGTGGCCGCAAAGAAAGTCTTCTTTGCGGCTTTTATTGCCGCGGCATATGCCCTTAAAAAGGACACAAACCGTGTTCGATTTGGCTCGCTCGGATCCGAACGCCACACGCTCTCTAGTTCCCCCTTCTTTCGCTTCAACGCTGCCAGCTCCTCGGTAAACCAAGGAGACCCTTCCAGTATTTACTGTTGGTCATGGGAGTTCTGTGTGCCAAGTTGGGTTCAATTCCATCCTTGGTGGAGCTCTCTGATTGTAGGTGAACTATAAATCCCAGCAACTACAACTCCTAAACAACAAAATCAACCCCACCAGTATTCAAATTTGGGTGTATCGGATACTTGTGCCAAATTTGGTCCAGTGAATGTAAACACATCCTGCATATAGAATATTTCCATTACGATTCATAACAGTAGCAAAATAAGAGTTATGAAGTAGCAGCGAAAATAATGTTATGGTTGGGGGTCAACACCACATGGGGAACTGTATTAAGGGGTCTCAACATTAGGAAGGTTGAGAAATAGTGCTCTATGGGATGACACTCATATAAAGGCCATCTCATGTGACTTTTAAAACATTCTATCTTTATTTATACCCTGGGATTCTTCTACTCATGACAATGATAATATTGTTTTTCCTCATTCTTTCTGGGTGTGTATAATACACACCTATATTTCAGATCGTATGGCTTTGGCTTTGGCCATTGTTTTTGTTTGTTTTATTGAAAAGGGACATGTCTACTTGATGGTGCTATACAAGCTAACGATAATAATATAATACACTAGGACAGGTATGAAACGCACCTAACCTTTGTGCATAGCACTGGCCAGACACTTTATTTCATAACAACATGGACTTCAACTCCTACAATTCCTACTGACTGTGAGGAATTGTAGGAGTTGAAATCCAAAACACCCGGAGGGCCAAAGTTTGCCCATGCCGGAGCTAGAATCATAGTTGGAAGAGACCTCATGGGTCATCCAGTCCAACCCCCTGCCAAGAAGCAGGAAAATCCATTCAAAGCATCCCCAACAGATGGCCATCCAGCCTCTGTCTAAAAGCCTCCAAAGAAGGAGCCTCCACCACACTCTGGGGCAGAGAGTTCCACTGCTGAACGGCTCTCACAGTCAGGAAGTTCTTCCTCATGTTCAGGTGGAATCTCCTTTCCTGTAGTTTGAAGCCATTGTTCCATATCCTAGTCTTCAGGACAGCAGAAAACAAGTTTGACTTCCTTTCACATATTTATACATAGCTATCATGTCTCCTCTCAGTCTTTTCTGCAGGCTAAACATGCCCAGCTCTTTAAGCCGCTCCTCATAGGGCTTGTTCTCCTCATAGGACTTGTTCTAGCAAGTAGGAATATCCAAACAAATTTATTGGAATGAAGAGGCATCTTCAGAATTCAGATCAGCTTCTCTTTCCTCTCTCCACGCTTCCGACACTTAATCTGGATACATTCACTGCTCTTGTGTAGACAAAATAATAATAATAATAATAATAATAATAATAATAATAATAATAATAACCTTTGCAAGTGGCAGCCTCCACGCGGTTGTCATTCCCGCTGCACAGGAATCTGTCTGTGACCACTTCAGAGACATCAGACACTTGGGAATATATCATGCCTTCTTGAACAGCTCCGGAAATACAGGAGGGACGCTACAGAAAATAACAGTCACAGATTAGATGGCTAAATTCCTATTTAGGACATGGTGGCACAGTGGGTTAAACCGCTGAGCTGCTGAATGAACTGCGCCCATACCATGGGAAGTCTGATTTTACCACGCTCTAGTTACATCCCATATAGACTACTGCAACGCCCTCTACGTGGGGTTGCCTTTGAAGACTGTCTGGAAATTCCAAATGGTCCAACGGATGGCAGCCAGGTTACTAACAGGAGCAGTGCTCAGGGACCATACAACTTGTCTGTTGCGCCAGCTCCACTGGCTACCAGTTTGCTACTGCGCACAATTCAAAGTGCAGGCTTTAGCCTATAAAGTCCTAAACGGTTCTGGCCCAACTTACCTGTCCGAACACATTTCCTCCTCTGAACCAACTAGAATCATAGAATCATAGAGTTGGAAGAGACCTCATGGACCATCCAGTCCAACCCCCTGCCAAGAAGCAGGAATATTGCATTCAAAGCACCCCTGACAGATGGCCATCCAGCCTCTGTTTAAAAGCTTCCAAAGAAGGAGCGTCCACCACACTCCGGGGCAGAGAGTTCCACTGCTGAACGGCTCTCACAGTCAGGAAGTTCTTCCTAATGTTCAGATGGAATCTCCTTTTTTGTAGTTTGAAGGACGTTATAATCGTCTGGGGAGGCCCTGCCCTGCTCTCGATCCCACCTGCATCACAAATACGTTTGGCGGGGATGAGAGACAGAGCCTTCTCAGTGGTGGCCCCTCGGCTGTGGAATGCCCTCCCTAAGGACATCAGATCGGCCCCCTTGCTTCTAACATTCCGGAGGAGAGTTAAGACTTGGCTGTTTGAGCAGGCATTTGAAAATCTTTAAGGCAGTGTAACAGACATAAGAATGGAACGATTGGATGAAGATACTAGGAGACGGAATTGTTTTATGTTTTATTGATTTTACTATGATCATATATTATATGTAATGCTTAAAGTTTTTAAATGTTTTGTGTTATTGGGCATTGAATCTTGCCTCTGTAAACCACTTTGAGTCGCCCTCAGGCTGAGAAAGGTGGTATACAAATATAGTAAATAAATAAAATGTGCTGGGCGGAAAGTCAGTGGTTTGGATCTCCGGGATGGGGTGAGCTCCTGCTGTCAGCCCCAGCTTCTGCCAACCTAGCAGTTAAAAATGCAAATGTGAGTAGATCAATAGGTACCGCTCCTTTGGGAAGGTAATGGTGCTCCATGCCGTCATGCCAGCCGCATGACCTAGGAGGCATCTACGGACAATATCGGTTCTTTGGCTTAGAAATGGAGATGAGCACCAACTCTCAGAGTTGGACTCAACTAGACTTAATGTCAAGGGGAAAGCTTTACCTTTACCAGTTTCACTACTGTGAAATAAAATGAAATATGGCATATGGTATGACCTCTGTATCTGTGAAACAGATATCTGTGGTTTCATTTGTCCAGGACCAACTAAACATGTACTTTCTAGCATTTTCTTGCACACTTCTATTCTACGCCTAGACCAGATATCACTTCAATAAGGTTTGCTATTATTCACAATTTGCTAAGTTTGGAAATATATTCCCTGCAGATATTGGGGTTGCACTACATAATAAAGTGAATTAAAATGCACAAGTGTACTAGGATCTAGGTCATCCTGCATTTGTGTGTAGTATACACACTCCAGATGGCAGTCTTATTTATTGAACTCTGGATTAATGAATCAAGATTAAAATTCCATATAAAATGCATTAGTTTGATTTTGTAATGTTGCCAGGCACTTTGGTGTCTGAAGGAATCTCGGAGTTTAAAGCACTGAGCCATTTAACTAGAGATTTCCCTTCTCTTTGAAGTTTCGATCCCTTGAGGTCTCCACCAGAATCTGGATTCAACACTGCGTGCTATTCATCACATTGGCCTCATTGCATGTCATTTAACGTTGCAGATCCTAGTTTATCAAACTACCATATGAACTGTATGTATATTTGTCACCCAATCCCTGGGTGCATAAGGCAGAGGAACAAATTCGTCATGAATCATGTAATGTAACAGATTTAGAGCCCTTTCATGCAGCTATATAACCCAGAATATCAAAACAGGAAATCCCACTGTATCTGCTTTGAACTGGTTTATCTGAGTCCACACTGTCATATATTCCAGCCCAAAGCCGAAATTTGGGGTTTTATTTAGCTGTGTGGAAGAGGCCTTAGACAGATCTATATCTGGGTAGTTGTAGGACCTCACAACCTCTGAGGATGCTTGCCATAGATGCAGGCGAAACATCAGGAGAGAATGCTTCTAGAGCATGGCCATGTATCCCAAAAAACCTACAACTACCCAGTGATTCCAGCCATGAAAGCCTTCGACAATACATTAGATTTATCTCTCTTTTTACGTGACTGGAGAGCAAAACATCTGTTAACTGGGCTTCATACATGTGTATGCTGCTTGTACACATTATAGCAGGATTCCTTGTTCAATCTGGCAGCAAATACAGTCCAAAAATTTCATCAGTTCTCTATTTTGCTGACTCTTTCACAGTACTGTTTTTTGCAACTATTTCAGTATTCCACTTCCTTTCATAAACTGTGCTTCCTTGCAACAGCTGCTTAACACAGAAAGGAAATCCCCTTTTCAACAGTTCCCTGCTAATGAATTTAAGGATTGCAAAAGTTCACACCACATTTACAGGAGCATCAAACAGTTATGGCCAAAATTACATAATACAATAAAGTGAGGGAACCCCAGAAATTCTGGCTTAGCAGTTTTGAACAGCATGCTGTTGCAGGCAACTCTTTCAGTTGCACACACAGCAGAATAAATAAAATGGCTTTGCTCCATCATTTATTTATGGTGCCATCCAAACATAGGTATAACTCCTGCTCTGGCTTGTTTTTCTCCCATTAAGGCAGTGGTTCTCAAGTTGTGGTCCGCGAACCACTGGTGGTCCACAAGAACTAAAATATGGTCCACTGCCTCACCGTTACTGCACTGTTGCAACGAGAGTAACTGATCTCTCAATCACAGAATCATAGAGTTGGAAGAGACCTCGTGGGCCATCCAGTCCAACCCCCTGCCAAGAAGCAGGAAAATTGCATTCAAAGCACCCCCAACAGATGGTCATCCCGCCTCTGTTTAAAGGCTTCTAAAGAAGCAGCCTCCACCACACTCCGGGGCAGAGAGTTCCACTGCTGAATGGCTCTCGCAGTCAGGAAGTTCTTCCTCATGTTCAGATGGAATCTCCTTGCTTGTGATTTGAAACCATTGTTCCGCATCCTAGTCTCCAGGGCAGCAGAAAACAAGCTTGCTCCCTCATCCCTATGACTTCCCCTCACATATTTATACATGGCTATCATGTATCCTCTCAGTTTTCTCTTCTTCAGGCTAAACATGCTCAGCTCTTTAAGCCACTCCTCATAGGGATTGTTCTCCAGTCCCTTGATCATTTTAGTCACCTTCCTCTGGACACAAAACCCTCTTATAGTGCTGACCCTTATAAATATGCTTTTCTATGGGTCAGAAGATGATGCCTACTGAATGGCATATGTTCTGTATCAGAAACTAGAGCTGATGTGGTCTAACCAATGCAATTTTCTGAATCATAATCCCAAATAACCAAACCAAATCTAAATTTGTAACCTTTTTGGTCCTAATGTTGGAGAGTGGTCCCTGGTCAAAAAAAGGTTGGGAAGTACTGCATTAAGGGGTTGTTTACACTATCTAAAAAACCCAAACTCATGGTGAATCCATTGCTGTCTTTTCCCATTACACACAAGGAACTTACGGTAAATATCCTAGGATATCTTGTCTTAACCCAGTGGTTCTCAACCTGGGGTCCCCAGATGTTTTTTGGCCTATACCTCCCAGAAATCCCAGCCAATTTACCAGCTGTTAAGATTTCTGGGAGTTGAAGGCCAAAGACATTAGGGGACCCCAGATTGAGAACCACTGTCTTAACCCAACTTTATCCTGCTTTAAGCAAAATTGGAGGATACTATAGAGTTTGCTAGACATTACAGAGTATCCTGGGGCTATGTGGCAGTCTGGACAGTGTGATCAGGTCCATTTTGGACCAATCTCCTGTCCACACAGATCCTGCTAGCATTACTCTTTCCTTAAACCAGTGGTGTCAAACTTGTGGACAGCCAAGCTCCCAGAATTAATGGCCACTGGCAAGTTGGCTAAGTCTTCGGGGAGTTGGAGTCCCAAACATGTGGAGGGACACACGTTTGACACCTCTACCTTAACCTGGCTAATACAGAAGGCGAGGATGGTTTGTCCAGGTGTCACCATTGCTGCCAATATTCCTAGCTAGCAATATTGCTCCTTGCAAAGACATGAATGCAGAGTTTAAGAGCGTTTTTTGTGGAGGTATGGTTTGTGGAGAAGGAAACAAGACAGAGAAGCAGCTGGCAACCAGGAGCAAGGTAGCAGCATCCACCAGCAAGCCATTCACAGATGACAAGCCTGGGATCCTGTGGTTTCTCTGCTGGTTGCATACTCTGAGCCAACCCAGAGACCGTATGGCTTTTTATGACTCTTGTGTCAACATCTCAAATGTTTATCATTCAGAAGCCAATCTAGAGGAAATAATAGGCTTACGCTTTTCTTTGTCTTGATTTGCACGTTCATCCGTTTGTTGTCCAAGGATATAAACTGGGCAGGCACCTTGTCAAAACTCAGCAGCTCCAGCTCTACAAGACAGATATTGCAAAAGTAAACACAATGGTGGAATTTCTAAGCTTTACAATTAAGAAGAGAGGCTCTTTCACTTACTAAGTAAAAGCAAGGGAAAGTAATCTTGAATTGGATTTTTTTGGCAGAAGGGGAGTGAAGTGTAGTGGGTTGCTCAGTCTGCCTAAAACTATTCACAGAATCATAGAATCATGTTTTCCTCAAACTATTGGGTTCTTCTACTATTTGCCCAGGTCTCACTATAATAATTAGGTCATCATCTCCAACACTTGATGACCTCCTGCCTTCAAAAACTACCTCCACTATGTCACTCTTTTTAAAGCAGTGGTTCTCAACCTGAGTCCTCAGATATTTTTGGCTTATGTAAAGGTAAAGGTTTTCCCCTGACATTATGTCCAGTCATGTCCAACTCTGGGGTGTGGTGTTCATCTCCATTTCTAAGCCGAAGAGCCGGTGTTGTCCATAGACACCTCCAAGGTCATGTGGCCGGCATGACTACATGGAGTGCCGTTACCTTCCTGCCGGAGCAGTACCTATTGATCTACTCACATTTGCATGTTTTTGAACTGCTAGGTTGGCAGAAGCTGGGGCTGACGGCGGAAGCTCACACCGCTCACCGGATTCGAACCTGCGACCTTTCGGTCAACAAGTTCAGCAGCTCAGAGCTTTAACCAACTGCGCCACCGGGGGCTCCCTCTCTATAACAATTAGATCATTATCTCCAACAATTGATGACCTCCTGCCTTCAAAAATTACCTCCACTACGTAACTCTCTTAAAAGCAGTGGTTCTCAACCTGTGGGTCCCCATGTGTTTTGGCCTACAATTCCCAAAAAACCCAGCCAGTTTACCAGCTGTTAGGATTTCTGGGAGTTGAAGGCCAAAACATCTTAGGACCTACAGATTAAGAACCACAGGCGTAAAGTACTGGTTTAGGAAGAACTTCCTGACTGTGAGAGTCGTTCAGTAGTGGAACTCTCTGCCCCGGAGTGTTGTGGAGGCTTCTTCTTTGGAGGCTTTTAAACAGAGACTGAATGGCCATCTGTTGGGGGTGCTTTGAATGCTATTTTCCTGCTTCTTGGCAGGGGGTTGGACTGGATGGCCCATGAGGTCTCTTCCAACTATTCTATGATTAGGTTTGTTGAACTCTTACAAAACCTTCCTGTCAACTGCTGTGAAGTTCTCTAAATCATTTGCACAAAACTCTACTCTGATATACAATCATGTTCTCCCTTTACTATCGTTTCCTTTCTTACAAGCTAACCTTTCACTTTCTGCAATACACAGCAGATAGAGGGAAGGACAAGGCTAGGGAACTTGGTAAAGCTGAATCATGCGGGAAGCAAGTGGCTGCAATGTGGGGAGGAAGTGGGAAGGGAAAGGGCTGTGGTTGGCATCCTCTGAAGATGCCAGCTACAGATGCAGGAGAAGCTATAGGGGAAAATGCTGCTAGAACACAGCCATACAGTCCAGAAACCACATTACAGACCAGAAGGGGAACAATTTAGTTCTTGAGAAGTGCCCCTCCCGCCGTGCCATATCTGACCCACTTTGTGCAATATTCTACTGAAATTGGGTTGGGCTGTTTGTTTGCGAGGGTGAAAGCAACATCTTACAGACCTGTTGGCTTCAAAGGGCTACTTCCTCCTTAATACAGCAAAAGCAAGTTTGCATTCAAAGAGATCTTGACAGATTAGAGAGATGGGCCAAAACTAACAAAATGAAGTTCAACAGTGACAAATGCAAGATACTCCACTTAGGCAGAAAAAAACAAAATGCAAAGATACAGAAATGGGGGACAATGCCTGGCTCGAGAGCAGTACATGTTAAAAAGATCTTGGAGTCCTCGTGGACAACAAGTTAAACATGAGCCAACAATGTGATGTGGCGGCAAAAAAAGCCAATGGGATTTTGGCCTGCATCAATAGGAGCATAGTGTCTAGATCTAGGGAAGTAATGCTACCCCTCTATTCCGCTTTGGTTAGACCACACCTGGAATATTGTGTCCAATTCTGGGCACCACAATTCAAGAGAGATATTGACAAGCTGGAATGTGTCCAGAGAAGGGCGACTAAAATGATCAAGGGTCTGGAGAACAAGCCCTATGAGGAGCGGCTTAAGGAGCTGGGCATGTTTAGCCTGAAGAAGAGAAGGATGAGAGGGGATATGATAGCCATGTATAAATATGTGAGAGGAAGCCACAGGGAGGAGGGAGCAAGCTTGTTTTCTGCTTCCTTGGAGACTAGGACGCGGAACAATGGCTTCAAACTACAAGAGAGGAGATCCATCTGAACATGAGGAAGAACTTCCTGACTGTGAGAGCCGTTCAGCAGTGGAACTCTCTGCCCCGGAGGTGGTGGAGGCTCCTTCTTTGGAAGCTTTTAAATAGAGGCTGGATGGCCATCTGTCGGGGGTGCTTTGAATGCAATATTCCTGCTTCTTGGCAGGGGGTTGGACTGGATGGCCCATGAGGTCTCTTCCAACTCTTTGATTCTATGATTCTATGAATGACAGGCAGGCCGGTTGCCTGCAGCGTTTAAAGCTCTTTTGGCCTCCCATTTTCTTCCAAAGCTTGGTTGCATCTTAACTATTGAATTAATTCTCTTGGACATCACTCAATGCAGTGAAATCCTGAGAGTTGTAGTTTCACAAGGCCTTTAGCCTTCTCTGCCAATCAGTGTTGGCGCATCACCAAACTACAATTCTCGGGATTTCTTTGCACCGAGTCATGGCAATTCAAGTGGTGTCAGACTGCATTAATTCTGTCAATGCTGTTGGAGCATGCAAGAAATTAGTTACTGTGTGTGTGTTAACCGTAAAATAAAATGCACAAAGCTAATTGGTTGGGCAACACCCTGGGAGATGTCTGAGCCTGGGATTTTTGGATACTGATACATTTCTCAGGCTTGAGCTATGCATGTGCTTGCAGAGATGCAGAGAGAGACAGAATTTGAAGTGTGTTCTTGCTTCATGAGTTGCTAGAAGGAGTTTATCCACATGGACAAAGAAAGACCATTTTAAATCTCTCATAAAAGGACATTAAGTGAATTAATGTGATTGATCACATGACTGTACATATGTTGTTCTGAACTACAAAGAGTAAACTACTTATTCTTTACTGTTCATCTGCATAGCATATTTTCTTTCTCTGGCAAGGCAGTGTGTGGGCTGATCAAATGTGAACTAAGCATGATTTTCATTATGTCACAAATGCCACATACTTTGTTGTGAGATCACCATAACCGGGCAGCCACACTTTCCCCCTCTTTGGTGTTTGACACTGGTCCACATTTCTAATATTCCGCATAGGGCTTTTAAACAGAGGCTGGATGGCCATCTCTCGGGGGTGCTTTGAATGCAATTTTCCTGCTTCTTGGCAGGGGGTTGGACTGGATGAGGTCTCTTCCAACTCTAGAGCTCTGCTATGTATACTGCATATATAAACTGATATTCAAGTATCTGAATATACACACATCTTATTTAAAAATGTCAACTTACAATTTAAAATTCAACATGGGACAGAGCCACTTCCAGGTGGGAACGCTCGCCTCTGACCAACCCATTCTGCCCAATGTGAACTCCTTCCCACAATGTCACAGCCATGCAATGGGTCTTTAGGGTCTTTTCCAACACTTATGACTTTATGATCTTTCTTAGAGATAATCTGGCAACCAGATATGCCACTCACCATGATCTTTGCATGTTGTGGTCCCTGACTTCTTCTTCAGGGCTTTATTGGCACCTTCAGTGCAAGGAAGGCAAATTGGTCTGCAAAGAAGAATTGAGAGTCTGAGGCCCCTTCCACACAGGTGTATAAAATCCACATTGAATAGGATTATATGGTGGTGTGGACTCAGATAATCCAGTTCAAAGCAGAAATTGTGGATTATCTGCCTTGATATTCTGGGTTATATGGCTGTGTGGAAGGAAGAGGAGTGAGAAAGTAAAGCCAGCAAACCCAAAGTTATATAAAACAGGTGGGGGGTTAAAAGAGATGTTGGGAGCTGCAATACAAAACATTTTCCAACTCTACAAAGTTTAATAAGTGTAATATAATAATGATAATAACTTTATTTTTGTACCATGCCTCCATCTCTCTGAAGAGACTTGGGGCGGTGTACACGGGGCCAAGTCCAATCAACAGAGTTAAAACATAACACATTAAAATGCATAACATCAATAAAAACAACATTATAACAATATATAAAGGTAAAGGTTTTCCCCTAACATTAAGTCCAGTCATGTCCGACTTTGGAGGTTGGTGCATTTCTCCATTTCTATCGCAGCCACGTTTGGTGGGGGCGAGAGACAGGGCCTTCTCTGTGGTGGCCCCTCGGCTGTGGAACTCTCTCCTGATTGAAGTTAGATTTGCCCCCTCCCTCCTGACCTTCTGGAAAAAGCTTAAATCCTGGTTATGGGATCAGGCGTTCACAGAATAATTTGTTTACTGGGAAAGACAAGATTTATTGTACTGGACTTGGACTGCTTTGGATGGCAATTTTAATTCTGGTGATTTTAATCTAGCAAGCAGATTCTTAATGTATATTTAGAATAATTTTAATTTTGTGGATGTATTTATTATGTGTTTTATATTATGTTTAGCATCAAACTGTTGCCTGTTTGGAAGCCTTTCTGCATCCCTCCACGGAGGTTGAGAAGGATTGGGTATAAATGTTTAATAAATAAATGAAAATAAATGTTATTAACTGTCCTTAACTAACAATGGGTTTGGTTTCTTTTTTTCAGAAGAGACAATATTTCTAAATTTGCCTTGAACAAACGCACCCAAGATCTGCTTTAATTCTCTTTGAAAGCCCTCTCCTCCACCCCTCCTTCCATCATTCTCTGTGGATGATTTTGCATTTTTATTTAACGCTAAAAATAAAAACGAAACTATCCTTCCTGATCTTGTTGTTCTTAAACCTTCCTGATTACTGACATTACACATCTGTTCCTTTCTACTTCCTTGTCTTGTTAGATGAACTCTCCAAAGTGCTGATGTCTTCAAATCCTTCTACATTCTCTCCTGAACCAGTTCTTTTTCATTTCGTAAATACTGTGACTTTTGCCATTCTTCTTTCTTTTCTTATTAATCTGCCCATTCCTTCTGGTACATTTCCTTCCAAGTTTAATCACAGATTTAAGAAGCTTTCACTTGATACTTTAGAAACTTTATCCATCTTGAGTTGCTGTATGGCCATGTTCCAGGAGCATTCTCTTCTGACATTTCATCCACATCTATGGCAGGCATCCTCAGAGGTTGTGAGGTTTGTTGGAAACTGGGTAACGTTGTGTTGTTTATAGTCTTTCAGCCTATCATGGAATTTTCTTGGCAAGATTTATTCAAAGTGACATCATATAGGACTTGCTAAAGGTTATCCAGTGCACTCACCACATGCACAATGGAGGACCTACTTACAATGACACCAGAGGCAGCATCTGGTCAAAGGAAATGTAGTATTTAACTTTGTTTGTGGTTTTTCTATACATTATAACTGTATTCTCAATTTGCTTCCAACACAATAAATCAAAATAAATAAACCCAGTGGGTTTCCATATACAAGCAAGTATTTTAATTCTGATCTCCTGGAATTCTGGAATCCTGGTCCATCACTCAAATCACTACATTACACTGACTGGTGGTGCAATGGGTTAAACCCTTGTGCCATCAGGACTAAAGAACTACAGGTTACAGGTTTGAATCCGGGGAGAGCGCGGATGAGCTCCCTCTGTCAGCTCCTGCTCCCCATTGCAAGGACATGAGAGAAGCCTCCCACAAGCATGATAAAACATCAAAACATCCGGGCGTCCCCTGGGTAGCATCCTTGCAGACGGCCAATTCTCACACACCAGAAGCCACTTGCAGTTTCTCAAGTCACTCCTGACACACACAAAAAATCACACTGACTCTAGAAAAAGCCACAACTGTGATAAATACTTCATCTGACCCTGTGCAGCTTACCTGATCCTCCCACCAAATGGTACTGGATTCTCCAGTTCAAGCAGAGAAATGTCATAGTCGTAGAATTCCTGGATGCCCTGGGACACCTTTGCACGGACATTGTACAGGTCATGATCAATACGTCTCTTTATTGGCAACCTCTTCTCTCCTCCTCCTGAGGAAGGAAAAAAATGTTTGCAGAAAAGTTTACCCATAACTGTAGTTCTTCTAGCGGTCATCTGTGGACTCACACATATGGTATTCTCAAGTGTCTGCACAGACCAGTGGTTCTTGACCTGTGGGTCCCCAGATGTAAGCTGGCTGGGATTTCTGGGAGTTGTAGGCCAAAACACCTGGGGATCCACAGGTTGAGAACCACTGGCTTAGACCATCTATATATATAAAAATGCTCTGTGCATAATGAGTTCCTTAAAAACAAAAGAACCAATGAACGAAATCACATCAAATTTGGCAACAAAACATCTCACAACACAAGGAGTGACCATCACTCAAAAAATTATGATTTTGTCATTTGGGAGTTGTAGTTGCTGGGATTTATAGTTCATCTACAATCAAAGAGCATTCTGAACTCCACCAATGATGGAATTCAACCAAACATGGCATACAGGACTTCCATGACCAACAGAACACACTGAAAGGGTTTGGTGGGCATTGACCTTGAGTTTGGGAGTTGTAGTTCACCTACATCCAGAGAGCACTGTGGACTCAAACAATGATGGATCTGGACCAAACTTGGCACAAATATTCCATATGCCCAAATATGAACACAGATGGAGTTTGGGGGAAATAGACCTTGACATTTGGGAGTTGTAATCACTGGGATTCACAGTTCACCTACAATCAAAGAGCATTCTGAACCCCATGAACGACAGAATTGGGGCAAACTTCCCACACAGAACCCCCATGATCAACAGAAAATACTTAATGTCATTCAATCTAACTCCCTTCATCAGGGCAAGAAAACATAATCAAAGTCCTCCTGACAAACAGCCATCCAGCCATAGATATAGATAGATAGATAGATAGATAGATAGATAGATAGATAGATAGATATGATTCACACACACAAGATATAGTATCATAGATTTGAAAGGGACCCCTAAAGAAGGACAGTTATATGTTGCATGTTCCAGAGTAGGCAAACCAGACACTCCACATCAACACTGACAAAGAAACAGCAAGAAATACTGTTTACCCACAAGCATAAAGAAATTACATATATTAGAAACCAACACTTTCTCATTACTTTATTTTCCAGATCAACAGACTGGGCCACAGCAACATGTGGCAGGGGACAGCTAGTCTTTGTATAATTGCTAAAGCTATTTTTTTCCAGCTGAAATCCCCCCCCCACCAAAAAACCCCATACCCACTTGCTCAGTAAATTTTTTAAAAAGTTACTACTTTAAGGATCAACTGTTTATAGGCCTCTAAAGTGCCTAGAGAGCTGTGAAGGAAGGAAAGGAGTTGTTAAAAAAGATTCCATTTTGAATCTTTTGTGTGTGGAACCTGTTCTGTTCTTAAGCTTAATATACCATCCTATGTAACCAAATATGCCTGTTAAGGTAACTGCAACCCTTACGCTTACTGTCTGTTCACAAACTATGTTTTCCTATTCATTCCAACTAAAGTGGCTTTTAAACATTTCAATAAAGGAGGTGGCCTGTAAAGATCATAAATTGGTGGCAGCGAAAGTAAAGTTTAATAAATATTTTGGAAGGAGCAAAGGCAGAATATATTTAGTGGCGGCTTCCCTACTGTTTGGCAGTGTATGAGTGAGGATGTGCATGTGCTCTAAATTCCCTCACGGCCCCACCTGGGTTGCCTTTTTGTTTCCAACTTTCATGTGAGTGTAAATTCTAACTACTGTCCTTGCCTAGGCGGTCATTGTTAAGGGCAGTGGGTTATAATTGGTGGCACATAATAATAATAATAATAATAATAATAATAATAATAATAATAATCCTTTGTTTGTACCCCGCTAACATCTCCCGAAGGACTCGGTGTGGCTTACAAGAGGCCGAGGCCCAACACAACAAAAACAACAGCATCACAAATACAACAAAATAACTCATAACACAAGCAATAAACATTAAAACAATAGCAAATAACATTAGACAGTAACACCATGACACATTTAAAACTAAGGCCGGGCCAATGTAATGATTAAAAATATTAAAATGCTGGGCATGACAGGTGAAATACATAGGTTTTTGGAGATAGGTGCAATGTGCAAACAATCTTAAATCTCTAGTAAAGTGCATTTGGGACATGATGCTTGGAGTTTCCTATTCTGGGAAGGCACAGTGGAACAACCACGTCTTCAAGATCTTCCTAAAGACTGCCAATGTTGGGGCTTGTCTGATGTCCTTGGGGAGGGTGTTCCAGAGTCGGGGGGCCACCACGGAGAAGGCCCTGTCCCTCGTCCCCACCAATCGCACTTGCGACACAGGTGGGATTGTGAGTAGGGCCTCTCCAGATGATCAGAGAGATTGTGTGGGTTCATATACGGAGATGCGGTCATGAAGGTAGGCGGGCCCCAAACCGTTTAGGGCTTTGTAGGTAAGCACCTGCACCTTGAATTGATACCGGAAAATGAATGGCAGCCAATGGAGCTCCTTAAACAGGAGGGTTGACCTCTCTCTGTAAGGAGCACCAGTTAACAACCTGGCCGCCGCCCATTGAACCAGTTGGAATTTCCGGGCCATTTTCAAGGGCAGCCCCACGTAGAGCGCATTACAGTAGTCCAATCTGGAGGTGACTAAGGCATGGACCACCCTGGCCAGATCCACCTTCCCAGGTTGGGTTGGGAGAGTATCCTTTATACAGTCCAATGCTCAAACCAGTACACCACACTGACTTTCATTGTCTCTACGTTGTTTTAGGAAGAAAAAGCAGGGCAAAATATTTGAGCTATCTAAGGGAATTTGAGAATACAAAACTGTCCTGTGTTTGATTATTGTGTTTAGTTCCTGGTGTGTTGCTAGGAAAGGGCTTTATTTACTTATTTCTTTGTAACCTTTTTCACATTCTTAAAAGGCAATGCACAATATACTGAATGGAAGGAAGCCGGTCATTTATAAAGAAAGCACACTCCCAGGAGAAATAAATCTAATGAATGAAGGGATAATTAATACAGAGTCCTAACCCTCCAGCGGCATTCTGAATAGGCTACAATAACATTACACGGAAGTTGAGAAAAGAAAATATTTGCTGAATGAAACTGATGTTTGCTGGCTGAACCTGTCATCCCTTTACCTTACTGCAGGAATAGGCATTTGTGCCCTGCAAAACCTTTGGGAATTATTTTGCACAATCCTTCACCAGAGCCTGGAACATAGTCTCAGAATTAATTCCTTCATTGTGACTGTTGGAAAGGACTAAAATAATTAATTATCATTAAAATCAGAAATCTGATTTGCTGCATTGATTTTAGCGGTTAAGTCATAATTCGTGTTTAGATGTTAGGTTGTTTAAATTTTGTTAGTATGGATGTATTGTTGTTGTACTCGGGCATTGAATGTTTGCCTTTTATGTTTAGAATCCGCCCTGGGGAGATAGAGCAGAATATAAATAAAGATTATTATTATTATTATTATTATTATTATTATTATTATTATTGTCAACTAATTCATTACCTAACTTGTTAGATATTTAAGAAAACATGGAATTTACAGAGAATAACTTGTAGTATGGCTGCTCTTTTTATAATAGACTTTCCCAGTTTGGATTTGTGTGTGTGTGTGTGTGTGTTAGAAGCGCCTTGAGAAACTGCAAGATGTTTCTAATGTGAGAGAATTCACCATCTTTAAGGATGTTGCCCAGGAGACACCCGGATGTGTTTCCATCCTGTGGAAGGTTTCTCTCATGTCCCTGCATGGGAAGCTGTAGCTGACAGATGGGAGCTCACCCCGCTCCTCGGATTTGAACTGCCAACCTTTCAGTCAGCAGTCCTGCCAGCACAAGGATTTAATCCATTGTGCCACCGGAGGCTCCCCCAGTTTGGGCTAAAGACACATGATAAACATTTCCTTCCATTTTGGCAGATGTTGCCGGTCACTGTCATGTATGCATCTAAGTAAAGGTAACGGTTTCCCCTGACATTAAGTCTAGTTGTGTCTGACTCTGGAGGATGGTGCTCATCTCCATTTATAAGCTGAAGAGCCGACATTGTCCATAGACACCTCCAAGGTCACATAGCCATCATGACTGCATGGAGCACTGTTACCTTCCTGCAGAAGCAGTACCTACTGATCTATTCATATTTGCATGTTTTGGAACTGCTAGGTTGACAGAAGCTGGGCCTAATAGTGGGAGCTCACCTTGCTCCCTGGATTCGAGCTGCCGACCTTTGGGTTAGCAAGTTTAGCAGCTCAGCAGTTTAACCCACTACACCACCAGGGCGCCTACTTATGCATCTACTAATTTCATTTGTTTTGATATTGGAGCCCCCGGTGGCGCAGTGGGTTAGACCCATGTGCTGGCAGGACTGAAGACCGACAGGTCGCAGGTTCGAATCCAGGGAGAGGTGGATGAGCTACCTTTATCAGCTCCAGCTCCTCATACGGGGACATGAGAGAAGCCTCCCACAAGGATGAAAAAAAAACATCAAATCATCTGGGCATCCCCTGGGCAATTCCCTTGCAGACGGCCAATTCTCTCGCACCAGAAGCGACTTGCAGTTTCTCAAGTTGCTCCTGACATGACAAAAAAAAATTGTTTCGATAGGGCTGTTTGAAGCAGTTTTCTAGATCTGCACAATTTGAGGTGATCCTATAAAAGCCCAGAACATATCCACTGCCACATTAACATAGTCACCACCGGGATTAGCTGAAAACCACAGAGCAGCACTAGAACTAAGCACAATGAAAAAATGAATGAAGTCTCACCCAGCCTACCCTCAGTGTTGCATCTTACCCAGAATCACTTTCCAGGTGGAAATGTCATTCAGCTTGTTGAAACAGTGAGCCGATGTCAGGATCCACGTCTTTGAAATCAAGGCACCGCGGCAAGAAGGCTCTACTTGACTCTACAGTAAAAGTGGACTAAATTAATTCAGGGTAGGACTAGCCATTTCAGATTATTGTATATACTCATATAAATGTCTAGAAATGTTAGTGGGAAAAACCCTGAAAAACTTAGTAGATTTATTCATGGGGCAATGAAAGTATTGGGTTGTTGTAGGTTTTTTCAGGCTATATGGCCATGGTCTAGAGGCATTCTCTCCTGACGTTTCACCTGCATCTATGGCAAGCATCCTCAGAGGTAGTGAGGTCACTACCTCTGAGGATGCTTGCCATAGATGCAGGCGAAACGTCAGGAGAGAATGCCTCTAGACCATGGCTATATAGCCCGAAAAAACCTACAACAACCCAGTGATTCCGGCCATGAAAGCCTCCGACAATACAATGCAAGTATTGTACCTTAATATTTATTTTCCTAGGGACAGTCTCCTTCTCTGAGTAGAGAGACGAAAGACAAGAGCTGAGCCCATCTCAGGAGAACCTAAAAAAAACTATTGATGCCCTCCACTCTCTCCATCATGGCACTCCTTCTGGCCCTTTAAAATATCACAATGAGAAAACCACATTGGAGGCTATTTAATGCTTTTCCCCAAAGAGGTGGAAAAAGAGTAGAGATAGATTGGTGTTTCTGCCAGGACAGACCAAGTTCTCTCCTTTCGCTGCTCTACTCCAGTGGTTCTCAACCTTCCTAATGCCACAAACCCCTTAATACAGTTCCTCAATTTGTGGTGACCCCCAACCATGACATTATTTTCATTGCTACTTCATAACTGCAATTTTGCTACTGTTACGAATCCTAATGTAAATATCTGATATGCAGGATGTATTTTTATTCACTGGACCAAATTTGGCACAAGTACCCATTACGCCCTGAGTCCCTTTGGGGTTGAGAAGGGAGGTAAATAAATATTGCAAAAATAAATAAATAAAACACTCAAATTTTAATATTGGTGGGGTTGAGGTATTGATTTTGTCATTTGGAAGTTGTTGTTGCTGGGATTTATAGTTCACCTACAATCAAAGAGCATTCTGGACTTCACTAACAACGGAATTGAACCAAACTTGGCACACAGAACTCCCATGACCAACAGAAAATACTGGAAGGGTTTGGTGGGCATTGACCTTGAGTTTTGGAGTTGTAGTTCACCTACATCCAGAGAGCATTGTGGATTCAAACAATGATAGATCTGGACCAAACTTGGCACGAATACTCAATATGCCCAAATGTGAACACTGGTGGAGTTTGGGGGAAATAGACCTTGGCATTTGGGAGTTGTAGTTGCTGAGATTTATATTTCACCTACAATCAAAGTGCCCCTTGAACCCCACCAATGTAGAATTGGGTCAAACTTCCCAGACAGAACCACCATTCCTTGAAGGGACTGACTGGTGCGAGTCTCTCTCCAGCGTCGCACGCTCTCCCTTGCCCACACATGTGCACCACACCATGTGCCAAACACGCCTGCTCTCCCCTCCCCACTTGGAGTCTCAGAAACAGCTCTTCCCTTGGCTAAGAGGCCGGTCAATCACATAGGAGGAAGGCTTTTGGTGGGAGAATTTGCAGTACCTAAATTTCCCACTTGACAGATGCAACTGTCGTTCAGGCTGCATAGGTCAACAGCAAGCTAGACTATTAATGGTCAGGAGCTCATTCCGACCCGGGCTGCCTTCGAACTCATGACTTCTCGGTCAGTAGTGATTTAATGCAGCTGGCTACTAACTAGCGGCACCACAGCCCAGTCATTTTAGACTACCACTCCCATCAGGCTCAACCAACAAGACAGGGTTTATGAAAGCTGGAATACAAAATGTGGAGGTCATCTAGCAGGGGAATGCTACTCTGGGCTACTAAAAACCTTGTAAAGAAGAACATATAATGGCATTGCAAGGAGAAGAAGAGAATAAACTCTACTTACATTTTCTTGGAGGAGAACATGCCAGGGGTTCTTTTGATACCACTCGGCAGAGCTGGAATAATTTGCCAAACCACATATATCATCCAAATCTTTGGGGTCTGAGAGGGTTAGAAATGGAGGGAAAACAACATTTATTTTCAACACATCTGTACCTGGCAAACCAAAAATAAACCTCTGGTTGATTACAATATTATTTAGCACTATTGTACAGTGCTGTTTTTAAGGAAATGGTGAGACAACAAGGACCCCTTTTGAAGCCAGGCTTAGATCAATTTCCATTTCACTCCTTCCCTGCCAGAATTCCTTCCACCAGTGATCATCCAATACAGGGTGTCTCTATATTGTAGAACTAACACACTTTGATATCATTTTAACTGAAACAGTTCAGTYCTATAGAATCCAGGAACTTGTACATTGTTTTTGGKTTTTTTTCATGTCAGGAGCAACTTGAGAAACTTCAAGTTGCTTCTGGTGTGAGAGAATTGGCCGTCTGAAAGCRTCTGAAAGGATGCTGCCTAGGGGATGCTTAGATGTTTTTGTTGTTTTACCATCCTTGTGGGAGGCTTCCTTCATGTCCCCACATGGGGAGCTGGAGCTGACAGAGTGAGCTCATCCATTCTCTCCCCGATTCGAACCTCTGACCTGTTGATCTTCAGTCCTGCCGGCACAAGGGTTTAACCCATTACGCCCTTGGGGTTTGGTGAGAAATCAGCACTATTTGTCAGAGGAGGCTAAAGACCTTGTGAAAATATGTAATTTCGAAGGCTTTCATGGCTGGAATCACTGGGTTGTTATAGGTTTTTTGAGCTGTATGGCCATGTTCTAGAAACATTCTCTCCTGACGTTTCGCCTGCATCTGTGGATGCTTGCCACAGAGGCAGGTGAAACGTCAGGAGAGAATGCTTCTAGAACATGGCCATACAGCCCAAAAAACTTAAAACAACCCAACTTGTAAAAATATATTTTTGGACAACAACAGCCCCAATGTTGATACCTCTAGGTAAGGGGAACTTCATTTCAGTGGGTGTATATGTTTATGGTGATCTATATTCCACTTTCTAGTGAACTTCTGGTCACCTTAACTGCTACAGTTCGATACTATGGAATCCAGGGAGTTGTAGTTTGGTGAGGGACCATCTGTCTTTAGCAGAGAAGTACTGTATAAAGAGCTTATAAAACTACAACTGGATTTAACACTGTGTGTTGCCCCCACCTTGCCTTTTTCTTCTTCTTGTGGTGTCTGCAGCTTTCTGTTGTGCAGAATTTATACCTACCCAGTATATCTTCAAAGGCTTCCTTGAGTGTCTCAAGGTTTTCCAGTTTGAATGCATGCTTTTCACCGGGCTTCTTAGATGCAATCTCATTCATGGCACTCCAGTCCACATCAAGGTTTCCAACACCAAAGACATAGATATCTGAACAAATGAAGAAAAACAAACTCACAAAGTTTTGGCCGATGTGCACATGCATCCTGGATGGAAAGATGGATATTGCAAAATTCCAGTGCCTTTGACACTGAAGACTTAACTATTTACACAGCCAGCAATGAACTATGTGAACAGATGGCATTAAAACATTTCTGAAACAGGAGATTTGCTTTCCAACTGCCAACAAATAGGGGGGAATTCCAAAGAATATGAGGAAATTCCAGAAATGCTTTTGAAGCTATTTTCTAAGGCAGCGTTTCTCAACCTGGGGGTCGGGACCCTGGGGAGGGGAGTTGCAAAGGGGTTTCAGATGGGTCACCAAAGACCATAAGAAAAAAACAGTATTTTGTGTTGGTCATGAAGATTCTGTGTGGGAAGTTTGGCCCACTTCTGTCATTGGTAGCCCAGAAAACTCACAGCAACCCAGTGATTCTGGCCATTGAAAGCCTTCGACAACGCATATATTTGTTTTAATTATTAATATTTAAAACATTAATAATTAAAACTGGATTTATTTGAATGTGTTGTTCAATGCTTTTAAAGCTTGTGTACTCCATATTATTGTCGCCGTTCTGTTTTAATTCATACTATAAGCTGCTTTGGGTCCCATTCAGAACAAAAGCAAGATACAAATTAATTATTTCATTAGCAGTCTTATTTGGAATGGAGCTGACCTCTAACAAGCCGGTTTGTTTGGTCCTTTTATGAGCTTTGCACCTGTTCCTTCCATATATTTTCTTTTCTTGGTGCATTGCACCTGGTGTATCAGTTTACAACTATTCCAAACAAAGGCATATTATGTGTCCTTATTTACGTCTGACCCACTTCTCTCCCTTCCCTGTTTAGCTGCATCTGTAGCTTATGAGATCATTGTGGTAGTGATGGGTCTTCAGAAAAGAGCAGAGGTAATGGGGATCATAATAAAAATCTATTCCTCAAGCAAGTACCATAGAAACAGGCCCAAGATGGAATTGGAGAGGAACTGTGTATTGATGTGTTGTCAAAGGCTTTCATAGCCAGAATCACTGGGTTGCTGTGAGTTTTCTGGGCTATATAGCTATGTTCCAGAAGCATTCTCTCCTGATGTTTCACCCACATCTATGGCAGGCATCCTCAGAGGTTGTGAGGTCTGTTGGAAACTAGGCAAGTGAAGTTTCTATATCTATGGAATAACGTCCAGGGTGGAAGAAAGAACTCTTGTCTGCTGGAGGCAAGTGCGAATGCTGCAACTGGCCACCTTTGGCACCTGATGAGCCAACCTGGACACAGCATATTATTTGAGAACACAGAAATGCTGGACCACTCTAACAATTACCATGTCAGACTACACAGAGAAGCCATTGAAATCCACAAGCATGTGGACAATTTCAACAGAAAGGAGGAGCCCATGAAAATGAACAAAATCTGGCTACCAGTATTAAAAAACTCTAAAATTACTACAGCAAAACAACACTCAAAAACAGGGGAATTCCAGACAGGAAACAATCAGGGCCAGCTAATACCTCCCAACAAAGGATTCCCCCAGACAGGAATCAGCCAGTCTTTGAAGCTGCAAGGCCATTCAATGCTAATCAAGGGGCCAACTGAAACATTCACACTTGCCTCAAGCAGACAAGAGTTCTTTCTCCCACCCTGGACATTCCGCAGATATATAAACCTCCCAAATGACACCTGTTTGAGGCAGGTGTAAATGTTGTAATTGGCCACCTTGATTAGCATTTAATGTCCTTGTAGCTTCAAAGCATCGCTACTTCCAGCCTCCTTTGTTGGGAGGTGTTAGCCGGCCCTGTTTGTTTAACTGTCTGAAATCCCCCAGGTGTTTTTTAGTGCTGCTCTTTATTTACTGTCGCCAGGCATGTAGCCGGGGGGGGGGGGGGGGGGGTTGAGGGGCTTCAGCCCCCCCCCCCCGAAATTCTCATGGTGGTTCGCGAAAAGGCCTTACTGGTGCATTATTTAAACTGTTATGTTTATTCATATCATGATCTGATCACCATACTCAATATATCCCATATGCATGGGGCTATTGGGGTAATGATACAAAAGGTTTGCTAGGCTAGACCCTCTTTCACTCAGACTCAGCCCCCCCCCGAACCAAACTCACCCCCCCCCCAATCAAAATCCTGGCTACGGGCCTGACTGTCGCCATTTTTTTTAATACTGGTAGTCAGATTTTGTTCATTTGTTCATGTTCATGCTTTCCTCCTTTCTGTTGAAATTTATTGATTTATTGATTTATTTACTTATTTACTACATTTATATACCGCCTCTCTCTGCCCAGAGGCAACTCAGAGCAGTGCACAATTGGCAACACTTTGATGCCACAACAATTACAACAAATAAAACAATCATAAAATACTGGTAAAAACATTAGCAAACAATATAAAATATAAAAACCATACAAAGCCTTAAAAACATTATTATGAGTGTCTCCATGTCAAGTCATTATTCAATTGCGTCGTCAAGTGGTTCCATGATATCGTACAACTATGGCAGCTTAGCCTAGCGGTTCCTTCACATTTTTTATAACTATGCCATATTTGGGAAGGCCTGCTCGAAAAACCAAGTTTTCACCTTTCTTCGAAAAGTCAGGAGGGAGGGATCGATCTTATATCTCTAGGAAGGGGGTTCCATAGTCGAGGGGCCACTGACTGTCCACATGCTTGCCTCAAACAGACAAGAGTTATTTTTCTTACCCTGGACATCATTCCACAGATATATAAATCTCACTTGCCTAGTTTCCAACAGACCTCACAACCTCTGAGGATGCCTGCCATACATATGGGCGAAACGTCAGAAGAGAATGCTTCTGGAACATGGTCATAAAGCCCAGAAAACTCACAGCAAACCAGTGATTCTGGCCATGAAAGCCTTTGACAACACATTTATTTTTTTGGATTACCAACTCCTGCAAACTCAAAGTAGCCTTTGTCAGTGACTGTGCTGAATGCATGGCTCATTGAGTTATTATTAACTTTACGTTTACTTGGCCTTTCCCCTAATATAAGGACCCAAAGCAAGATAAACAAAGATGTAGCCAAGGATTTGAAAGGTTTGTTGATATCACCAGAGCTCAGTCAATTCCTGAGAGTGATGTTACCTTGGTGACTCCTCAAACTCTTGGTCCATCACAACATCATCTCAATTTCCTTTATAGAATTCCAATATGCTGCTGATCAGAATGTAACCTGCGCTCATTTAGAAAAAGACCTTCAAGCTACTTTAAACACCTTTTCAGAAGCTTTTTGACGTGAAGTCAAACTGCATTAATTCTACAGTGTCAACACATTCTTTGATAGTATTGCATTAGAGGTTGTGGACCCAGAACATCACCATGACATTCTATTTGGCTTTGTAGGTAGTCAGTGTTCTGGTTGTACCAGGAGCTCCTACTTTATTTGCTTTGTATTAAATGTTTGTTTGCAGTCCTAAGTTTCAGGGTTCTGCAGATAGGTGGCTTTCTTTGGTTGCAGTCACAGGGCAAGTCACCTGTCCATCATTGTTAAGTTTTGGTCCCGCCCTTTGCTCAGGGCAATTGGGAAGGGAAGGGAGCCATTTTTAGTTAGTCTCAGCAAGGAAAGCTAATGTACAGGACGTGTGCAAGCTTCCCCTGTACAAAAGCTTCAACCTTAAGACTTTCCGGGGGAAAACAGTCTTAAGAGCATCCAAGATCTTCTGGGGAGAACAGTCTTAAGAGCACCCAAAGATTTCCAGGGAAGCAGTTCTAAAGCTTTGAGGAATTTCAGAGGGTGAACAGTTTGAAAGACCAAAGAACTCCAGCTGGAGAATATCTAAGCCTTTACTGGTAGGTCCACTCGGTGCTTCGAGATGCAGTTCGACCCAGTAGCGGAGCCCACATCAGTAAGGGTTAGATTACAGTCAGCCTGGGAGAAGTTAAAAAGGGATTTTCTTTAAAGTAAAAGTAACAGTTACTGAAGACAATTGCCTGTCCTTCGTGGACAAGTTTAGGAAACCACCAGTTGCATAAAAGCCTGGAAGCATTTGTTTAACTTTATTGAAGACAAGAAAGGTTTTTGTTTGATTGTTCATTAATAAAAGACTCATTTGTTTAACTTTCTGAAGACAAGAGTTTCTGTTTGATTGTTCATAATAAAAGACTTTGTTATACTTCACAAGCCATCTAAAGACTATTTGTGGTGGAAAACCTCTGAGAACTTTTCTTTGGGCCCCCTGGCTTCCTGCTGGGCAAAGGTTGCACGTCCTGTTCTAAAAGAAATTCTTTACAGGCCCAGCGCAACAGAACAGTCAGATTCCTGTCATAAAGTTTGACTTCCTAAGGCACAAAAGACCACCTCAAAATAATCACTCAAAGAAAGATATGTTTAGATGGCTCACCCAGATAATCTATCCGGTTTTCTCTCACATTCACCAAGTCTTCTATGTTTCTCACTGCAGCTTTAGGAGGCTGCCCAAGATTAGATTTACCTAGGGATTAGATTTACCAACTTGCTTAGACAGAAGAACAAAATTACACTGCTAGCAATTTATTATTTTTTATCATTATTATTTACTTCATTTATATCCCATCCTTTTCAAGCCTGCTGGGGACTCTGGGCGGCTTACAAAAAAGGCACAATTCAAAGCTAAAACAAAACATATACATTAAAATCAATAACTGAATACACATTATATTAAAAACAGGTATATTAAAAACCACACAGTCCAAAGTCATATTCCAAGAGCCTTGGCACAAACATTTTGTGCCAAGGTACAAGCCACAAGAAAAAAAATACCTTATTTCATCACATAATAGTCGCACTTTCCCTTTTTTATCAAAGAAAGGGGGCATGACTATTGTGCAATGAAAGAAAATCTGCCTTTGATTATCTGGTTTGTTTTATTTAAACAATAAACTGCCTTACCTCCAGCTAGCTCTGCGACTATTATGCGAGGAACACAAAAAATACCAATTTTGCCAAGCCAAAAATGGGGATGTGACTATTATGCGATGGCGACTATTATGCAATGACATATGGCAATTAGACACTTCTTTAATGATAGAGGAATATTTATTTTTAAAACTGTAGCCACTCATAGCCCTTCTTACTGGGGGACTGAAGGAGCTATAAGCAGCCTTTACCTCTGTTTATGTATTGTCTGCCCTTGTTAACTGTATAATAGCATTGAATGTTTGCTGTATGTGTGTTCTGTAATCCGCCCTGAGTCCCCTCGGGGAGTTAGAGCGGAATATAAATAAAGTATATCATTATTATTATTATTATTAGTAGTAGTAGTAGTAGTAGTAGTAGTAGTAGCAGAAGTAGAAGTAGAAGTACTACTAGTAATATTGTATTAACTTTTCCAGTTCCGGTCGATAAATGAAAAGGTGAGTTTGGCACCCTTTTAACTGTGATGGGATTTGTAGTTTGGTGAAACCTCTGTACATTTTGGAGGAGAAAGCTAGACACTCTAAAACTATTGCTGCCATGATCCCATAGCATCGATCCATGGCAGTGCAAACTGCATTAACTGGGGCCACAGTAGCACAGCGGGTTAAACCGCTAGCTGCAGAAAAGTTTGTTGACCAGAAGGTTTGCAGCTCGAAGCCGCTGGTTGGGGTGAGCTCCCAGTTGTCAGCTCTAGCTCCTACCAACCTAGCAGTTCGAAAACATGTAATGTGAGTAGATCAATAGGTACCACCTCGGCAGGAAGACAAAAGGCACTCAAACAGCCATGCCAGCAAAACACGATCAGGAGGGTCTACGGACAACAGGCTCCTCAGCATGGAAAATGGAACAAGAGCACCTCCCCATGGACAGAGTTGAGCATTGCCTCCAGACACCAGAGACAGAAAGAGAAACCTTTGCCTTTGTTGGCATATTGTATGTCACTGTTCACTGTATAAATGGCATTGAATGTTTGCCTATATATGTGGATACTGTAATCTGCTCTGAGTCCCCCTGGGGAGATAGAGTGGAATATAAATAAAGTGTATTATTAATTCTACAGTGTAGTAGATGTATGCTACAATAACAAAGCAATTCAACTCTTTGTCTTGGGTGTAATGTATCCAACTATCCACCCCTCTCAAGCTTTTTGATCTCCCCATTTCTCCTCACCATCAGTAAGAAGAATGATAGCATGGCGAACTTTGTTCCATTTCTCTAGGACATTTGCTCGGTCATTAATCATCATCCTGTAGATGGCATCAAGGGCAGCATAGGTGTTGGTCCCTGTTGCATTGCCATGATCTGCAGGAGGAAACAAATTGTTGTTGAGTTATATGGGCTTACGTCTTTCCTGTTCCTCACAAAAGATGTGGATATATTTGAATCGAGGACTCCATTTACACTGATAATGGAGTACAGTTCGAAGCCAGCTTCAAACTGCAGCAGCTAGACAATAAACACCAGCGAAATCGAATTAGAGAAATCTCATAATACACATCAGTGCTTTATGGTTGAGTAATGGTCATGTGGGCCTCAGACTGGTTTCCTATCTGTATGTGGCACAATGGGTTAGACCTTTGTACCAACAGGACTGCTGACCGAAAGGTTGGCGGTTTGAATCCGGGGAGCGGGGTGAGCTACCGTCTGTCAGCTCCAGCTTCTCATGCAGGACATGAGGGAAGCCTCCCACAGGATGATAAAACATCCAGACGTCCCCTGGGCAACATCCTTGCAGACGGCCAATTCTCTCACACCAGAAGTGACTTGCAGTTTCTCAAGTCACCCGTGAAACAAAAAAAAAAAATTCTGCACAGTGAAGCCATTTTCCTCAATAATGTTTGGAAACTGCATTAAATAGTCAGTGTAGGTGAGGCTGAAGAGTAAGATTTAATAACAGTTAGGATATGAGTTGAAAACTACAACTAAATTAGCACACCAGCAAAATGAAAATGCAATAAAAATAGTGCTCTTCTCTCAAAGTCAGTTTTTAAAGTTTTATCTCTTGGTTTTGTGTGAGCGTAAGATCCCATCCATACTGTCCATATAATGCAATTTCAAGGCAGTATTGAAGAAAATGGTTTTGCTGGTCCGATCGTGTCATAGGAAATCCTGGAACCAGTTTGTGTCATGAATGGAGATGATACAAACCACAGAGCACAGATGCGCATTAAAGGCTTTATTTCATGCACTTTTGTAGGAGTTTGTTGTCTGGCCGCTGCAGTTTGAAACAGGCTTGGAAGTGCATTAAATGGTCCACGTAGAGGCCATCTACACTGCCATATAATGCAGTTTCAGGTCACATTGACACTGCCAGATAATCCATTTTCAGAATCTATATTACCTGCTTTGAACTGTATTATATTGCAGTGTACTCATTTTACGCAGTCCAGTGCAGTTCAATCTTCATTATATTAGCAAGCATGGGCAAACTTTGTCCCTCCCTCCAGGTGTTTTGGACTTCAACTCCCACAATTCCTAACAGCCGATAGGCTGTTAGGAATTGTGGGAGTTGAAGTCCAAAACACCTGGAGGGAGGGACAAAGTTTGCCCATGCCTGGTCTTCACTGATCATTATAATGCAATTCAAATACAGGGTAGATGGTGCCTAGAAAAGGATATCCCAATGGACCCTTTTTCCATGGAATATGAATCTCTGCACCAAAGGGGAGCAACTATATTCTTTTGCGGCATAAACAAGGAAGAAGGAAACAGGAGAAAAGTTTTAAAAGAGACTGTAGTAGTTCCTTTTAAGACTAATTGGATCATATATTTTCACAAGATCTTTCATGGATGTTAATTCACTTATTTAAATGTGGCATTGCCGTTCTATACCATATTTGAAGAAGTAAATTTACAGGTAAAGAAAACTCGTGCAAAAATAGAAACTAATTCATCTTAAAGTTGTTGCTACGTTTCTTTCTTCCCTCTCCCCCAAACTCCCTCCTGTATTTGGCAGATCCAAACTCCAGCCTCGTCACACTAGCGAATGAATCCACTTTAAATCTGTTTGCTGCCTCCTAAACGACAAACCACAAAATTCTGCAGGAGGCAGAAACTGGGTTCAAAGTGGATTTGTGCCCTAGTGTGATGAAATAGTGAAGCATATTTACTCCTTAAAAGACATGCATACACTCAGTGTTCCTGGAAGTCTACTTCCAGTGTTGAACAGCAATAGTAGCTTGGAAAGGGTCCCGCATGAGAAATCAAGGGCACACGCCTTGCTTTAGAGCAGAATTTCCACTTTTGGAATTTTTCAAGTGTTGCAATCTTGCTATTATGAGTACCACTGCTCTATCCAAAAAATTATTATTTCCAATATGGCAAATGGGGGATGTGTTCTAAAAGTTACAACAAAAGAGATCAGCATAGACTCTGTGGGCACGTCCACACTGCGGAATTAATGCAGTTTCATAGAATCCTAGAGTTGGAAGAGACCTCGTAGGCCATCCAGTCCAACCCCCTGCCAAGAAGCAGGAATATTGCATTCAAATCACCCCTGACAGATGGCCATCCAGCCTCTGTTTAAAAGCTTCCAAAGAAAGAGCCTCCACCACACTCCGGGGCAGAGAGTTCCACTGCTGAACAGCTCTCACAGTCAGGAAGTTCTTCCTCATGTTCAGATGGAATCTCCTTTCTTGTAGTTTGAAGCCATTGTTCCGCATCCTAGTCTCCAAGGAAGCAGAAAACAAGCTTGCTCCCTCCTCCCTGCGGCTTCCTCTCACATATTTATACATGGCTATCTTATCTCCTCTCAGCCTTCTCTTCTTCAGGCTAAACATGCCCAGCTCCTTAAGCTGCTCCTCATAGGGCTTGTTCTCCAGACCCTTGGTCATTTTAGTTGCCCTCCTCTGGACACATCTGGACAACCAGTGTTGAACAGCAATAGCCACTTGGAAAGGGTCCCGCATGAGAAATCAAGGGCACATGTCTTGCTTTAGAGAAGAATTTCCACTTTTGGAATTTTTTAAATGTTGCAATCTTGCTATTATAAGCACTGCTGCTCTATCCAAAAATTTATTATTTCCAATATGGCAAATGGGGGATGTGTTCTAAAAGTTACAACATAGACTCTGTGGGCACATCTACACTGCAGAATGAATGCAATCTGACACCACTTTAACTGTTATGGCTCAGTACTATGGAAGTTGTTGATTGGAAAGGTAACAGCACTTTTTGGTTGAGGAGACTAAAAACCGGGAAAAGCCATGATGCCATAAACATTGAACCAAGGCTGTTACAGTGGTACCAAACTGCATTAATTCTGCAATTCAGATGCACCCAAACTCTTAAGTAACTTTCGAGACTCAAACGGGGGGAAAGCAGCTATGTGTTGATAGGAAAACAGTCTGATGGCCATGTACAAATATGTGAGGGGAAGTCACAGGCAGGAGGAAGCAAGCTTGTTTTCTGCTGCCCTGGAGACTAGGATGCAGAACAATGGCTTCAAACTACAGGAAAGGAGATTCCACCTGAACATTAGGAAGAACTTCCTCACTGTGAGAGCTGCGTTATGTTTTTATTATTTTTATTTGATTGATTTTAATGTGTTTCATTTTTTCAGTAATTTTTGGGCTTGTTCCCTTTGTAAACTGCCCTGAGTCTCCTTCGGAAGATGGTGGCAGGGTATGAAAAATAAAGTTGTTGTTGTTGTTGTTGTTATGTTCCAAGAAAGGAGATTCCATCTGAACATGAGGAAGAACTTCCTGACTGTGAGGAGAGCTGTTCAGCAGTGGAACTCTCTGCCCCAGAGTGTGGTGGAGGCTCCTTCTTTGGAAGCTTTTAAACAGGGGCTGGATGGCCATCTGTCAGGGGGTGCTTTGAATGCAATTTTCCTGCTTCTTGGCAGGGGGGTTGGACTGGATGGCCCACGAGGTCTCTTCCAATTCTAGGATTCTATGATCCTGATTCAGAGCACTTGGATTGAAGGCTAGATCTAGAGTGCCCTATATCCCAGGATCTGATCCCAGATCACTTCTTATCCCATATTATCTGGCAGTGTAGACTCATATAATCCAGTTAATCTGGGATCAGATCTTGGAATACAGGGCAGTGTAGATCCAGACTTAGAGAGAATGGAAAATCCAGGAAGGAAATGTGTAGGAATGAAATATTGTCGTTTTAGAATTACTATCCCCAAAATAGTTCAGGAAGATCAAAGGATCCCGAATTTAAAACTAAACTTTGAGAAGAGGCAACTGGTAGAAATCTGATAATATTTCCAATACCTTTGTAATTCATGTCAGTCTTCATCTTCTCAAGAACCAGTTCTGGATCTTCAGCTATATCTTCATGGATGTCAACAATAGTCTTTGGTTGGCTAGCAAACGAGAGGATGGAAAACTTGGTGGCTACATCAAAGCTGGCAACCTGGGAAGAGAAGGACCGTACTCCATGGAGAGACAGCACAAGAACAAAATAAAGCAGTGCAGTCGCCCATAACAAGTTACGTTGAAAGATAAAGAGGGCAGGATAATGCTTCATTCCAAAAGTATCACAATAGCTGGATCTACACTGCCATATAATACAGTTTGAATGGGCATTATATGGTCAGCTCAACTGCACTGAACTGTATTATATGGGTCTACACCAGACATGGGCAAACTTTGGCCCTCCACGTGTTTTGGACTTCAACTCCCACAATTCCTAACAGCTGGTATTAAAATACATATAGGAAAGATACATATAAGCCAAATCGCCAAGATAAAATCATGTTCAACTCAGTCCGCATATGTGGTCACTCACTTTGGTCTGTAACCAGTCTCAGCCATTATGGGAATGCTTCATTCCATAGCCAGGATTTCACTAGTCTCCTGAAGGATAAGAGGGAGGGGGCAGATCTGATCTCGCTTGGGAGAGAGTTCCATAGCTGAGGGGCCACCACAGAGAAGGCCCTGTCTCCCATTCCCACCAGACGTGCTTGCGAAGGTGGCGGGACCGAGAGCAGGACCTCTCCGGAAGATCTTAGAATTCTTGATAGTTCATAAGGGAGAATATGTGCAGACTTCTCCAAGATACACTATTTAGATATGTTGCACTTTTCAGATATGTTGTTCCATCATCCCCAGCCAACAATTGGATTGTGTGGTTTGTATACACCTGGCAAAACTGGGAAAGGAAACTGAGACCCCTTTTACACTACCATATAACCCAGATTAAAAATCAGATAATCCACATTATCTGCTTTGACCTGGATTACATGAGTCTACACTGCCATATAATCCAATTAAAAGACGGTAATCTGAATCCCAAATAGCCCTAGGAATAGGCCAAAAATCCAAGATACCAAGAAAAAATATTTTTGCAATGTAATCATTCAGTTAAGGTATCATGTAATTTGGTCCAGGGCCACCATTATTTATTTACTGTGCAAGGATGCCTGAGACTAACCAGAAATAACTTCCCATCAAACCCTCCTCATCCCATAAGATGAGCCTCTTCCGTATAAACTTACCCTGTTGATGATAATTTCCAGGCATTTTTTAAAAATCTGGAAGTTGGCTTCAGTAACGCTGTGGGAAGCATCGGCAAGCATGTAAATGTAGAGGAAATTGTCTTTGGACAATATCAACCTTCGTCCTAAATTTGGAGCTAGTGTGGAGAGAAAGAATAATACTAATACTAGTCCAAAATACCTGGAGCACCAAAGTTTGACCATGCTTAGTGGAGACCTACCTTGAAGTGTCTCAGAAGGGTCAGGTCCAGATGATGACACCTCACTCAGAACATCAGTGAAGGAGGCCCCAAATTCAGCTCGAACATCTTCGGCCCGGTCATACGAATAGGGAGCTGTTTGGAAGAAAGGGTGTTTGTCATTACAAGACAAGATGGAAGAGGAGCCAGCCACTGGGTTGAGTCCAGAAGACTAGAACTGGAGTTGTTGGATGGGTAGGATGGTCTTGGAGGGGAATGAAAAATCAGCATATTCAATGACTACAAATGTAATTCACTTTACTTAGGCAATCCCTCGTTGTCCAAGTAGGATTGTCCTCCAAGATCAGTGTACTGGCGGTGGGTCCGTAGGTGACTGTGGAACCCTATTATTGATCTGCATCTTCTCCTGCAGTGAGGGCATTGGTTTCCAGGTGGAAGGCGGTCTCAGTCGGGGTTGGCTTGATGCGCCTTCCTCTTGGCATGTTTCTCTCTTTCACCCTCCATTCATGCCTCTTCAAATTCTGCAGCACTGCTGGTCACAGCTGACCTCCAGCTGGAGCGCTCAAGGGCCAGGGCTTCCTAGTTCTCAGTGTCTATGCCAGAGTTTTTAAGGTTAGCTTTGAGCCCATCTTTAAATCTCTTTTCCTGCCCGCCAACATTCCACTTTCCATTCTTGAGTTCGGAATAAAGCAACTGCTTTGGGAGACGGTGGTCGGACATCTGGACAACAAACCACCATAAAAACATCATAATCATCCCCCCACACAACACCCAACAATAAAAAAAACAACTCCAAACCCAACACTAAAACCCCTCACAAACACTTCACCCAAACCACACATCCACAACAAACATTCCAAAAACACACCCCCCCCAAAAAAAAAAAAAACCACACACACCCCCCCCCCCCCCCCTCCCCCCCTACAATATAACCAAAAAAAACCCCACAAAACATCAAAAAAAAAACCCACACAAAAAACACCACCAAACCCAAAAAAACAAACACCCCCACCCCCACAACACCACACTCCACACAAACAAACAACAACCTCAAAAAACTACACACCCCCACCACCCCCCCCCACCCCCCTTCTCCAAACACATAAAAAAACAAACAATAACCACAATCCAAAAACAAAAAAAAAAAACCCCAAAAACAGAACTTCGGGCATTCGGACAACGTGGCCAGTGCAGCGGGGTTGATGGCGGAGGACCATGGCTTCAATGCTGGTGGTCTTTGCTTCTTCCAGCACACTGACATTTGTCCACCTGTCTTCCCAAGAGATTTGCAGGATTTTTCAGAGGCAACGCTGATGGAATCGTTCCAGGAGTTGCATGTGATGTCTGTAGACAGTCCACGTCTCGCAGGCGTATAGCAGGGTTGGGAGGACAATAGCTTTATAAACAAGCACCTTGGTCTCCCTACGGATGTCCCGGTTCTTCATTCGGAAAAATGCAGCACTCGCAGAGCTCAGGCGGTTCAATGCAATTCAATGGAAATGCAATTCAATGGAAATGATAAAAGTAATATATAAAAAGGTTAATTGAAATACGTGTCCATGGCCTTCAGGGGACAGTACAGGCAATCCCCAAGTTTTGAACAAGATAGATTCTTTTTCTTAAGTTGAATTTGTATAAAAGTCAGAACAGGTGCATGTAATAAGTGTAACTCCAACCATATGTGTGTGTGTGTGTGCGCCAATGGTCAGAATTCAAACAGGAATGTGTGTCTTTGAGAGTAGAATTCAATTGAAAATACAATTAGCAGTTTCACATGTCCATATTCAGCAAGATGCTAACATGATGTTACTATGTAAGAGAGTCAATAGAGGCTGGATCCACACTGCCATATAATGCAATTTCAGAAGGCGGATTAAATGCATTGAACTGTATTATTTGTGTCTAGGGGCCTTCCAGGCAGCTCTATATTCCAGAATATCAAGGCAGGAAATCCCACTTTATCTAAATGTGGACTCAGATAACCCAGTTCAAAGCAGATATTGTGGGATTTTCTGCCTTGATATTATGGGATATAGGGCTGTGTGAAAAGACCATACGTTGTCATATAATCCAGTCCAATGCCGTTAATCTGCATTCTGAAACAACAGTATATGGCAGTATAGATCCAGCTAAAGTGACTGCTGTGCATTGGGAAAGTGGCTAGAAAGTGTTCATGCTCATCCATAGAGCCAAATGCACATTGGGACAATCTTACATCTTCACAATTATGTAAAGGGATTTTAGAGTCTTAGAGGAGTATACGTACATACAGTTACATAGATTGCAATAGTGAATTCCAGTCTTTGTTGATTTTACTTTTAAAAATTCAAGGCTTCATTTCATTTTTACAAGTTGTAAAATGATGTATAAAAGTACAATGAAAAAGCATATGCCATTCTTCTCTAGGTAAACACAAAAGATAACACAACCATAAAACTGCAAATGGAGTCAATAAATCCTATTCAAAAGGCCTTTTGTTTCAACCAGGCACTGAAAAGACTGCAGTGTGAACATCATATATGAGATATTCCAATGTTTGTGGTTGGCAATGGGATTCCTGGAGTGCTAGTCATATCATGAAAATAGTCACCATGGGAAGGGAGTAAATTGTTATTTTATTTAGTATTGCTCTCCAGAAAGAGGAGAAGTGCTATCCATGTTTCCTGGCTCATATACAAGGGTTGAATGAAAAGTAATGCCTCCACCTTCGTTACTTGTATTTGGATGGGAATATTTTAATAAATCAAACGCAGAAATAATCCTTAGAATGTGCTCTTTAACTACCACTATTCACTTTTCCACATAATCACCAGACAATTGGATACATTTCTGCCAACAATGAACAAGTTTTCTGAAGTCGTCTGTTTCTGCAACCAGCGGAAACCTACACAATCCCTTCAATTGTTCTCTCATCCTGGGTTCTCTCATCCTGGGTACCCATCGTACACAGATCTTCCAAAAGACAAGCAAAGTATTAATGTGACCCACACGTTTTTGTAAAATCCCGATTATGCTTGAAATTTCTCCGAGTGATACAACGATCATCCTGAATCAATCTGTCAACTTTTGCTTGTGAAACTCAGTGGTTGCTGTCACAGGACATCCAACTCTTTGTCATGCAAGTCAGATGTTCCCACCTCAACATCTTTAAACTTACTCACCCAACGATGCACAGTACTCACATCAACACAATCACCATAAACAGCTTGCATTCTCTGATGAATCTCCTTTGGGGTGAGACCTTCTGCTGTCAAGAATTCAATGCTTAAGTCGCATTGACCGACCGTCTGCGCAGGGTTCCATACTTTGCACTTTAACAACACAACCATTCAATGCTAAGGTTTCCCGCCAAAATGGAACTGTAGAGGAGAGTCTACTGAACAAGCCAGTACCTGCCGCATACCAGTACTGCCATCTGTTGAGGAGTTACGAAGGTGGAGGAATTACTTTTTCCCTAGAATATCAAGGCAGATTATTTATTTATTTATTTACAGTATTTATATTTCACCCTTCTCACCCCGCAGGAGACTCAGGGCGGATTACAATGTACACATACATAGCAAACATTCAATGCCATAGACACACAACACATATAGATAGACAGTCAGAGGCTATTTAACATTCCAATTTTCTGGCCACCAGGGGAGCTGTCACTTCGCCGTCCATCTGCAACAGTGATGAAGTACTTCTGCATTCCCCACATGCTTTTGCTGGAGTCTTTTTATGGCCTCATAAATTAGTTAATTAGCCTCCCCACACATAGGTGGTACCTAATTTTCCTACTTGACAGATGCAACTGTCTTTCGGGTTGCAAAGGTCAACAACAACTTACACCAATTGGCCGGAAGCTCACTCTGACCAGGCTGGCTTCAAATTAATGACCTTTCGGTCAGTAGTGATCTTAATTCAGCTGACACCCAGCCAGCTGCGCCACAGTCCTGGATAATCCACAATATCTCCTTTGAAGTGGGTTATCTGAGTCTACACTGCCATATAATCCAGTTCAATGTGGAATTTATACAGCTGTGTGGAATTGGCCTAAGAGTTGCATTCCAAAACTCTGATCAAATTCGATTTCATGAATAGGACATGTTACCTCTGCAACTTGGTTCTGCTCCTGACCATTCGCCTTCTGGAGTGCAAACACGTTGTGCCGATCCTACCAAATCAAAGCCATTCTGACACTGAAATGAGACCCGATCGCCAAGACGGTTGCGCCCCCCAGTAGCGATTGCCCCTGGCGGGATGGCAATGCTGCGGCAATGGCCCACTGGAGAGGGAACGAAAAAACAAGGGGAGAGAAAACACAGGGTGATATGACTTCTCCATTTTTATATTCCTTGTTATTTGTTAACAACACTTTGGAGAGACTTTTTTGTCATGTTGAAATATATCATTACATTACATTTCGGCATTATATATGCCATCCCTACAAAAAGAAATTTCCCCAAGTCATGAATTGCAACTTAAACCTATATTTTATCAAGTACTGCCAATTCCATATATGTACATACAGTAGGCCCTCAGTATTTGCAGGGGTTTGGTTCCAAGGTACCACCACCATAGAATCATAGAGACTTCATAGGCCATCCAGTCCAACCCCCTGCCAAGAAGCAGGAATATTGCATTCAAAGCACCCCTGACAGATGGCCATCTAGCCTCTGTTTAAAAACCTCCAAAGAAGGAGCCTCCACCACACTCCGGGCAGAGAGTTCCACTGCTGAACGGCTCTCACAGTCAGGAAGTTCTTCCTCATGTTCAGATGGAATCTCCTTTCTTGTAGTTTGAAGCCATTCTTCTGCGTCCTAGTCTCCAGGGAAGCAGAAAACAAGCTTGCTCCCTCCTCCCTGTGACTTCCTCTCACATATTTATACATGGCTATCATATCTCCTCTCAGCCTTCTCTTCTTCAGGCTAAACATGCCCAGCTCCTTAAGCCGCTCCTCATAGGGCTTGTTCTCCAGACCCTTGATCATTTTATTCCTCCTCTGGACACATTCCAGCTTGTCAATATCTCTTGAATTGTGGTGCCCAGAATTGGACACAATATTCCAGGTGTGGTCTAACCAAAGCGGAATAGAGGGGTAGCATCACTTCCCTAGATCTAGACACTATGCTCCTATTGATGCAGGCCAAAATCCCATTGGCTTTTTTTGCCACCACATCACATTGTTGGCTCATGTTTAACTTGTTGTCCACGAGGACTCCAAGATTTTTTTCACACGTACTGCTCTCAAGCCAGGCATTGTCCCCCATTCTGTCAAAAGGTTGTCAAAATCCGTGGATGCCAAAGGGCCATTATAAACAACTGTGAATAAAAAGGCAAACAATTCAATGCTTTGCTCTTGGGATCCTTTTAAAAATATTTTAGAGCCATGGTGAGTTGAATTTTTGGATACAGACTTCATAGATATCACCATAAATAAACCTTAGATGTACTTAAGATGATATTGAATATAGACCTGACTATAGCCAATGGGATTATCAATGTTCCTTTTCCCATTGGCTGTTATATAGTCAATATCATCTTAGGTATATATAAGGTTTTATTTATAGTCAGCACTTCATATCCTTTAGCAAACTTATTATTTACTTAAGTTTTAAGTGCTTAAATGTATTTTAGTTAATTATTAGGGAGGAGGGTTAGGATAGGGATTTGTTTTTATTGTGTCTTTGTATACTTGTTTTTTGTCTTTTACTGTTGATATGGTCAGGTAAAAGGTAAGGTAAAGGTTTTCCTCTGACACTAAGTCCAGTCATGTCCAACTCTGGGGTGTGGTGCTTATCTCCATTTCTAAGTCAAAGAGCCAGAGTTGTCCATAGACACTTCCAAGGTTATGTTGCTGGCATAACTAAATGGAGCACCGTTACCTTCCCACCGGAGCGGGACCTATTGATCTACTCACATTTGCATAACACTATACTTTTGAACTTTTTATCTTTTATTTTAATAAACCATAAAGACTACTGCTGGTGTGTTCTTTGGTGTCTTGAGCAAGGTGATTTCACCCTGAGGTGTGACAGATAGAGTAGAATATAAATAAAGTGTGTTGTTGTTGTTGTTGTTGTTGTTTGCAAGAAATATCAGAAAAATCAGAAATCAATTAATAAGATCAGACTGTTTCCCAGAAATGACAAACTGGTGCAGATACGACGTTTGATTGATATGTCTAATCTATATTGTTTGAGAATTGCTGCTGATGTCATTTCTAATGTGATGCACACGCAAGTCATAAGAAATAAGACTATTTCCCAGGAAGGACAAATTGCTGCGGTGGTGAAACCTTAGAAAAATTCACCTCCATCGTCGCAAACAGGGGAGGTCCCATTCCAGCGGCCATTGGGCAAGCAGTGTCTCTGGGAGGAACCGTGGAGCTGATACCCATCATAGCACTCAAAGCTCAAAACGTCACCGATGGGATGAGAGCTTCGCCGTGGACTGGATGAACCATGTTCAAAGGACATCTGTGGAGGACAGCGTATCTCTAGAAGAGAAAAGAGGGGAAGATTAAAAAAGAAATAACACTGGGGCTTGGAATATGGGGACTGTGAAGTTACCGCTGATTTATTTATTTTTTGTCGTATCAGGAGTGACTTGAGAAACTGCAAGTCGCTTCTGGGTGAGAGAATTGGCCGTCTGCAAGGACGTTGCCCAGGGGACGCCGGATGATTTGATGTTTTTCATCCTTGTGGGAGGCTTCTCTCATGTCCCCGCATGAGGAGCTGGAGCTGATAGAGGGAGCTCATCCGCCTCTCCCCGGATTTGAACCTGCGACCTGTCGGTCTTCAGTCCTGCCGGCACAGGGGTTTAACCCACTGCGCCACCGGGGCTCCGTTACTGCTGGTGAAATATTGATTTTCCACTTAATTGCATACTTTACAGCAGGCAGTGCCTTGTGGCAAAGACCCTTCTGTAATGTTTGCTCAGAAGTTAAGGCATTCAGCAAAGCCGCATACAAAAGGGCTTCCTTTTTCATCAGTTGTTCATTTTATTGCTTTCTCTTCAGATTAGCTGAGGTATTATTAATCAATGATATGAACCTGTTTCTATTCCCTGCTTAGTGTAGACTTGTGTGTGTGTGTGTGTGTGTGTGTGTGTGTGTGTGTGTGTGTGTGTGTGTGTATCCCCCTATTCTTTTAACATGGCAATAATAGAGTAGGGGTGGAAGAAAACTATAAATTATCCCTCTTTCCAAAAAAATCAGGAAATGGGTTGTTGTAGGTCTTTCCGGCCATATGGCCATGGTCTACAGGCATTCTCTCCTGACGTTTTGCCTGCATCTATGGCAAGCATCCTCAGAGGTAGTGAGGTCTGTTGGAACTAGGAAAAAAGGGTTTATATATCTGTGGAATGACCAGGGTGGGACAAAGGACTCTTGTCTGCTGGAGCTAGGTGTGAATGTTTCAACTGACCACCTTGATTAGCATATAATGGTCTGACAGTGCCTGGAACACAGAAATGCTGGACCACTCTAACAACACCATGTCAGACTACACAGAGAAGCCATTGAAATCCACAAGCATGTGGACAATTTCAACAGAAAGGAGGAAACCATGAAAATGAACAAAATCTGGCTACCAGTATTAAAAAACTCTAAAATTACAACAGCAAAACAACAGAGAGGAAACAAACAAGGACATCTAATCACCTCTCAACAAAAGATTCCCCCAGGCACTACCAGGCCATCAAATGCTAATCAAGGGGCAATCCCAAAAGGATCAGTAGAATAGAAGATACAAAATAGCAGTAACCCAAAAGCAGGAAATACAAAATAGCAGTAATCCAAAAATGGCAAAATATATTAAGTCAAAAGAACCAAAATCCAAAGCAGCGAACCAAACATAAATCCATAAACCAGAAATCAGGAGCTTCTTCCAAGGCAAACCCTTTTTCTATGAGGGCAATATCTGAAAAGTAATAAATGATTCCTTTCTATAAACCTACAGATTAGGAGGCAGATGGTAAAGGAGAAACCCTCTTTTGACCCCTCTGCACATTTATTTGTACTCTTTATTATATGATCCATTATGTTTGTATTTGTATTTTTATTAGTCTTTTATTCCATCATTATGTACTCATGTCCACTTCTTTCCTGGCAAGGGAGGAGGGAAATTTCCACAGCATCCCAGAATCTGTAATAATATGTAACACTGGAATTCCCTTAGTTTGGTAATATCCAAAATGAACAAAAGACATGCAGGTCTCACATTCCTGCTCTCTGGAAATACCAAAAAAGGCAAAAGCAGAATTGATTGCCCAGTCTTCAGTGCTTTTTTGACTCTGGTCAGCCATTAAAATTAAAACAGAATAAGCAAGGATCAAAGGTTCTGCACCAACACTGCTTTCTACGGGTGCATCTACATTGCAGAATTAATGTAGTTTTAGCCCATTTAAACCATCATGGTTCGATGGTAGGGAATCATGAGAGTTTGTTCTGCCAAATAGTGCTAGTGCAGTGTTTCTCAACCTGGGGGTCGGGGCCCCTGGGGGTGTCATGAGGGGGTGTCAGAGGGGTCGCCAAAGACCATCAGAAAACACAGTATTTTCTGTTGGTCATGGGAGTTCTGTGTGGGAAGTTTGACCTAATTCTATCATTGGTGAGGTTCAGAATGCTCTTTGATTGTAGGTGAACTATAAATCCCAGATGTCAATGTCTATTTTCCTCAAACTCCACTAGTGTTCACATTTAGGCATATTGAGTCTTCCTGCCAAGTTTGGTCCAGATCCATCATTGCTTGAGTCCACAATGCTCTCTGGATATGAGTACAGTTCAAACCCAAATTAGCCCCCCAAACCTCACACATACCTCTGCATTGTGCTGTGTTGACACGGGGTCCATGTGGGGAACGCATAGGGGTCCATTTTCCATCAGATTGGCAGACCCGGCTTTGCAATGGATATGGGTATGTACCAGGCGGGCAGGAATAGGTGAGGGTGCTTCCAAGGCGACCCTCATCCGAGAACGTCACAGTGCCACCTCGGATAGCTACATTTATTGGACATGATGGAATTGCAGGCGCCTGTGTGTCAACCACTGCAACAGACAAGAAATAAGAATTAATTGCATTTCGACCCTTCCCTGGCACTCATCTTGAACATTACATAAGCATCTCATGTTGGAAGAACAGAGAACAACAAGCAACAGACATACACAGAATGTATTTTCCAGGATTCTAGACCAATAAGAACACGTCGCTCTCTAGATGTGAGATCGGAGGTGACCCCCCAACCCCAGGACTTTGTAAAAGATAGCTCAAAACCAGGGAATTCATGGTTTTGCCAAGAACACCAGGCTGGAATGATCCCATAATCCCCTATCCCTCTTCCTGTTTTTATGAATAGACTCCGACTACTCAGTGCTCCCCTGAACTTCCATGCCTAAAGAAGGACAATTCTATGTTGCATGTTCCAGAGTAGGCAAACCAGACACTCTCCACATCAACACTGACAAAGAAATAGCAAGAAATACTGTTTACCCACAAGCAGAAAGACATTACATATATTAGAAACCAACACTTTCTCATTACTTTATTTTCCAGATCACCAGACCGGGCCACAGCAATGCCTGACAGGGGATGGCTAGTACCCTATATAATACTGAAAGCTACATCTCCTAGGATTTTGCATTGCAAAGTGCAACCATTCGAGTGTAAATCAGGCATGGGCAAACTTCGGCCTTCCAGCTGTTAGGAATTGTGGGAGCCGAAGTCCAAAACACCTGGAGGGAGGGTGTAGATGCACCCACAAAGGGACCCCCCCCCCCTGCAATATCCCAGGTCGCAAACTGATCTTAAGGCAACTCCTACCTGGGCAGAAGGTGAGCAGGGTGCAAAGGAGGAGGAGGAGCAGCAGCCTTAGGGCCATGGCAGCTTCCAGAGAGGATTCCCTGTTGCAAATTCCCTATTCCCTGTTGAAAACCTTCACAGCCGCCAGGAAACCTTTTCGCTTTTTCGGGGAAATCCGAGGATCCGCCTTCGAAGGCGAGAAAAGAAACTGATGCCGTGGGAAGAGCCCGGGATTGAGAAAGCTTCGCCCAGGCAGGAGGCTGGGGACTCCAAACAGCTAGGAAGGAAGGGCATGTTTGGTCTCCCCCCCCAACACACACACACACCTTTGGAAATCTCCCGAATTTACGCAAATTTGAACTGCCCTGGCACACTGCTCTGTGATCCTGAGATTTGTAGTTTGGCGAGGAAGAGAAGGCTAGAGACCTTGGGAAACTACAGCTCCCGGGATCCCATAGCCTTGAGCAATGGCTGTGTGTCATTAGTATAACACAGGCATGGGCAAACTTGGGCCCCCAGGTGTTTTGGACTTCAACTCCCACAATTCCTAACAGCCTACCGGCTGTTAGGAATTATGGGAGTTGAAATCCAAAACACCTGGAGGGCCCAAGTTTACCATACCTGGGCTAGAGAGAGTTTRGGAAACTACAGCTCCCAGGATTCCATAGCATTGAGCCATGGCTGTGTATCATTAGTATACATAAAAACAATGGCGATGGCACAAATGTAGTGGGATCCTGGGAGTTGCWGTTTGGTATATTCCTTGGGTGCCAAATCGAGCAGAAAGTCTGGCTGCATAAACTCATATATATCTATATAAATAAAAATGTAATGTTTGTTTGTGGGATTAACATAACTCAAAAACCACTGGACGAATTGGCACCAAATTTGGACACAAGACACCGATCAGGCCAACGAGTGACCATCACTCATAAAAACAGTGGAAAACACAGTAGAAGGGACTTTAAAAGCCAAAAATAAAAAATTACATTACAGCAAAACAATATATACATACCCAAACACACACATATACATATATATAACTACAGCTGAGATTGTGGCACCTTTACAATCTGATTCTTCAATGTTGTTTTGTGCACAGCATTATTAGAAATAGTGTGTATAAAATATTGCCTTCAGTCTATCGGTATTCCTGACTGTGAGAGCTGTTCAGCAGTGGAACTCTCTGCCCTGAAGTGTGGTGGAGGCTCCATCTTTGGAGGCTTTTAAGCAGAGGCTGGATGGCCATCTGCCAGGGGTGCTTTGAATGCAATTTTCCTGCTTCTTGGTAGGGGGTTGGACTGGATGGCCCAAGAGATCTCTTCCAATCTATAATTCTAGGTATCTATTAAACAAGCATCAGTTCCATGTTTAGACTTGTGTCCCTTCTCCATTATATAATCATGCAGATTGTCTCAAAACATTCCAAAACACTTCTGTTTTCAAGCCTTTTGTAGTGATCTGTATTAATCAGAGCCGACATTCCTTAGATTGCCAGGGTGTCCAGTTTCCAAGGGTGCATCTACACTAATGAAGGAATGTGGTTTGACAACACTTTTACTGCCAGGGCTCAATTCTAGGGAGTTGTGGGATTTGTAGTTTGGTGAGGCACCAGCACTTTTGGGCAGGAAAGCTAAAGACTTTGTAAAACTGCGACTCCCTTTATTCTATCGCATTGAGCCATGGCAGTTCAAGCGATATCAAACTGCATGGGCAACCTAGAGCTGATGTTGTCTATCCAATGAAATGAATTGGATCAACGCCCAAAATAACCTCAAGAACAGGCCCAAAAACCAAGACACTCAGAAAACCAAGTCACTAAGGAGCTCCCAGTGGCACAATGGGGTAAGCTGCTGAGCTGCTGAACTTGCTGATCAAAAGGTCACTGGTTAAAATCCAGGGAGTAGGGTGAGCTCCTACTGTTAGCCCCAGCTTCTGCCAACCGAGCAGTTAAAAAACATGCAAATGTGAGTAGATCAATAGGTACCACTCCGACGGGAAGGTAACGGCTTCCATGCAGTCATGATGGTCACAAGACCTAGGAGGTGTCTATGGACAACGCCGGCTCTTCGTCTTAGAAATGGAGATGAACACCAATCCCCTGAGTCAGACTTAACTAGATTTAATGTCAAGGGGAAACCTTTACCTTTACCTAAGAAAATGTATTGTTGTTGGAGTGTAATGCAGGCATGGGCAAACTTTGGCCCTCCAGGTGTTTTGGACTTCAACTCCCACAATTCCTAACAGCCTACCTGGAGGGCCAAAGTTTGCCCATGCCTGGTGTAGATGCCCCGGCCTGGTTTGAATGTTGTATGCTCCTCCAACTGCCCCTTGCAAAACCATCCCGTTTTCATTTCCCGTAAATCAGTGTTGTTTTTGTATGTTTATCAGAAGTCAAGGTCATTCCACTCTTCTCTCTCTAGCCTTTTTAAAAGAGGCAAACACAGTCCCGCCCCATCAAAACATTGATTCACCCCATGCTATTGACCCAAATGTTTGCTCCAATTTAACCACATAAATTACACAGCCAAACAGAAATTAATAATCTTGGGCTGGATGTACACTGCCCTATAGCTCAGGATTTGATCCCTGATTATTGTTTATTGTCTTATGTCTGTTATAAGAGGCTGTGTTTTTAAATTTAATTTTAGTTGTTAAGTCATAAATTGTGTTTATATGTTGTGTTGTTTAAATTTTAAAGTATTGATGCCTTGTTGTTGTATCTGGGCATTGAATGTTTGCCTTTTATGTTTGGAATCTGTCCTGAGCCCCTCCGGGGATATAGAGCAGAATATAAATAAATATTATTGTTATTATTATTGTTATTATTATTACAGATTATACAGCAGTGAAGACATATAATCCAGTTCAAAGCAGGTAATCTGGGATCAGATCTTGCGATATAGGGCAGTGTAGAGCCAGGCTAAGGCACCTTCTGCACTGCCATATAAAATCCAGATTATCGGCTTTTAACTGGATTGTTGGGAGTCTACACTGCCATATAATCCAGTTCAAAGCACATAATCTGGAATCAGATCCTGGGATATAGGGCAATGTAGATCTAGGCCAAGGCCTTCTGCGTTGCAATATAAAATCCAGATTATCTGCTTTGAACTGGATTGTTGGGAGTCTACACAGCCATATAATCCAGTTCAAATCAGATAATCTGGATTTTATATGACAGTGTGGAAAGGTCTTAGGGCTCTACCACACAGCTGAATATAATCCCACATTGAACTGGAGTTTTCTGGCAGTGTGGACTCAGATAATCCAGTTCAAAGCCTATATTGTGGATTATCTGACGATCTTCTGAGCAATATGGCGGAGGGACCCTTTGATACTCAAATGCACAGCAAAATAATTTACAGAGCAGCAGCCATAAGAGGAAATTTACACACACACTGCCATACAGAATGGGGGACAATGCCTGGCTTGAGAGCAGGACGTGTGAAAAAGATCTTGGAGTCCTCATGGACAACAAGTTAAACATGAGCCAACAATGTGATGTGGTGGCAAAAAAAGCCAATGGGATTTTGGCCTGCATCAATAGGAGCATAGTGTCTAGATCTAGGGAAGTAATGCTACCCCTCTATTCCGCCTTGGTTAGACCACACCTGGAATCATACTGTGTCCAATTCTGGGCACCACAATTGAAGAGAGATATTGACAAGCTGGAATGTGTCCAGAGGAGGGTGACTAAAATGATCAAGGGTCTGGAGAACAAGCCCTATGAGGAGCGGCTTGAGGAGCTGGGCATGTTTAGCCTGAAGAAGAGAAGGCTGAGAGGGGATATGATAGCCATGTATAAATATGTGAGAGGAAGCCACAGGGAGGAGGGAGCAAGCTTGTTTTCTGCTTCCCTGGAGACTAGGACGTGGAACAATGGCTTCAAACTACAAGAAAGGAGATTCCATCTGAACATGAGGAAGAACTTCCTGACTGTGAGAGCTGTTCAGCAGTGGAACTCTCTGTCCCGGAATGTGGTGGAGGCTCCTTCTTTGGAGGCTTTTAAACAGAGGCTGGATGGCCATCTGTCAGGGGTGATTTGAATGCAATATTCCTGCTTCTTGGCAGGGGGTTGGACTGGATGGCCCATGAGGTCTCTTCCAACTCTTTGATTCTATGAGTTCTGTCTATGTATTGTCGAAGGCTTTCATGGCTGGAATCACTAGGTTCTTGTGGGTTTTTTCGGGCTATAGGGCCATGTTCTAGAGGCATTTCTCCTGACGTTTCGCCTGCATCTATGGCAAGCATCCTCAGAGGTAGTGAGGTCTGTTGGAATTAGGAAAATGGGTTTATATATCTGTGGAATGGCTGGGGTGGGGCAAGGAGCTCTTCTCTGCTGAAGCTAGGTGTGAATGTTTCAGCTGACCACCTTCATTAGCATTTGAAGGCTTGGCTGAGCCTGGGAAAATGTTCTGTTGAGAGGTGTTAAGATGTGCCTGGTTGTTTCCTCTCTGCTGTTTTTAGATTATTTGCTTTGAACTAGATTGTATGGCAGTGTAGACTCATATAATCCAGTTCAAAGCAGTTAATGTGGATTACCTGCTGGGATAATCTGGATTATATGATAATCTGGATTATATTATAGGCTCCTTCTACACTGCCAGATAAAATCCAGATTATCTGCTTTGAACTGGGTGACATGAGTCTGCACTGCCAGATAATCCAGTTCAAAGCAGATAATCTGGATTTTATCTGGCAGTGTAGAAGGGGCCTTAAGGCATTGCAATAGCCATGGCAGTCAATTTGGTGCCAAAGTGTAGAGAAGGCAGCCTCCTCCTGCCATTGTGTGTCCTTCTAGAGAGAAACCCAAAGGATTCCCTCCTTCCTTTGAAAGGGGGCGGGGCTATGCAAATCAAACATGCAAAGCAACCCTTTCCCCTTTTCATTCAAGAGGAGGCGGGACTATTTGTTGCCAAGGTGACGGGAGGGAGGGAGGAGGAGGAAACCCCACCCTTCTCCCATCTGCCTTCTCTTCTGCGCGTTCTAATGACGCCACGGGCCTTAAAGGGGACGCGGGAGTGGATTTAAAGGCTCCCCCCTGTGGGTGGGCTTCCATAGAGAGAGAGAGGCTCCTCTCCGCCCTTCTCTTCCATTGACCTTTCCCTGCTCCTTCTCTTTTCTGTGTGGCTGACAAATAATCCCTCTCCCCTCCCTTCCCTTTAAGGAGCCCCCCCTTTAATTCCTTTCTCTGGGTTTTTTTTAACCTCCTTGTTTGGCCATTTGGGGCCAGCAGCCCCTCTCTCTCTCTCCCTTTCCCTCTCCCTCCTTGCAGCAGGTGAGGAAAAGTTGGGCATTGTGTCTCTGCCTCCCTAGAGAGGGCTGGCTTGTCATATTGTGACTATATTGTATCCTATGTTACACTGTACATTCTCTTAAGGGAGAATTGGAGGCTTGGGAAGCTGTGAATGAGAAGGGAGGGCAGGAATCAGGATGTTCCTGAGCAAGGGGTGGTCTGTTTCCATTATCATTATTATTATTATTTAAAATATATATTTATATTCTTATTTTACAATTTTAAAAAGCTTTATTTGAAGATATATATATATATATATATATATATATATATATATATCTTAATATATATTTATATTCTTATTTTACAATTTAGAAAAGCTTTATTTGAATATATATATATATCTTCTATATATATATATATATTCTTATTTTACAATTTTACAAAGCTTTATTTGAAGATATATATATATATCTTCAAATAAACCTTTTAAAAATTGTGTATATATATATATATATATATATATCTTCAAATAAACCTTTTAAAAATTGTGTATATATATATATATATATATATATCTTCAAATAAAGCTTTTTA